CCCCACTTTTCAGATTAAGGCTGTTTGGCTTAATTTTGCACTACATCAAGCATATGTGCCGATTTACCTAGTCCACCAGCCATCTTCCCCAAGATGCGTCATCTTTTTCGGCTCTCATGAGCCACCACCAAGTGTTACAGCCGCAGAGCCGACGCCGCGCAGCCTATGGAGACTGCAACACCGGGTATCGTGGTTGTTGTTGCTATGATTTGCGAGCGCGCATGTTCAAACCATGTTACAATCGTAAAACCGAACGGCGTCGGCCACTGCAAGTGTCACCAGACGGCGGGCGCCGTGGTAATCTGTCTTCTGGACAGATTGATAATTACAGAAACACGTCAAAGAGAGACTCTACCCTTACTTTTCCAATTCCCCTACAAGATTTCAGAGTCACTTTGTGGCGCTTTAAGGGTCAATCCGTTCTTATCATCAGTCTAAAAATAGCGCACGTGAAATTTGCGCCCAAACTGTCTTCTAAAGGTAAGATTTGATGTCCTGAAGCGTTCAAAGGCACTTCTTTCAGAGGCGTCATCATTTTTGAATCCCCGTTGGCCACAGCTTGGCATTGACTGTTGGGCCGACGCTGCGCGGCCTCGGGAGACTGCAACGGCTGGCGTCGAGGGTTTTGCTGCAAAGATTTGCGCGTGCGCATGCACAAAATTGTGTCACAGAATTTGTATCACTGACCGATGCAAGTGTCTGAGGGTAATTATTTCAAAACTGTCATCATTTTCGTCCACCGATGGGCCACGGCTAAAAGTTAGCCACTAGGGTAACGCTCCGCTGACCATTCAGACTGCAACGCGTGATGTGGAGGCTTTTGTTGCTAAGATTTGCGAGCGCCATGTTAAAAAACCCGGCTATATGAATTGTATCACCAATCGATTCTGACTGGATGTTGAACATTCCCATCCAAACATGGCTGGGTCATGTTAATACACCTTGTTGACCACTCGATTCACAAATGAATTTTCATTATCAAATTTAGATCATACATATCGATGTACAATGTACTTTCACAATGTTCTTAGTCTCTGTAGAGCCCAGATACAAATTTCTGACAAAGCTTCTGAATTTTATCGTTTCAGAGAGTCCACAAAAGCCATTGTAAACTGGTGGCGCTGGTGCTTTATTTCATGCGGTCGTTAAACGTCTGACTTTTGCAGTTTACTTCAAAATACAAACACAATTGATCTCACGGTGGCTTCTGTTTTTTGTTCTGGTTGCAAGGCATAAGTAGCAGTGAAACGATGAAAACCGAGTCCCTTGTAAACAAGTGAACTGTATCCGGGGATATTTTAGGAAGAGGAAGGAGTTAAGATATAATATAATAAGGAATTTTCAACACCGTGTTCCTCCCCGGCCAGGCTCCGGCTACGCCACTGCCTACACACAAAAGCAGATCAAGGCGTCCACGTCGAGTGATGGGCAACAAAATATCCGTTTGGCCAATTCATACCTGAGACAAGCAGCTCCCCGAATGTTATTTCGGTGATGGTGCGGTGAAGCGGAAGATAATTCGGAAAAAGATACTGTTGCAGGTGTTTTAGATATGTTTCACCGACCAATAAGTGGAATGGAATGGTAATGCTGATCCAGAAATATGCAACAAAGCACCCATACGATCACTTCGCAGTCAGTCATGCGAGAGACAGCCGGCCCAGGGCAGTGGCCGCCGACGGCGGACGGTAGCAGGGCCCAGGTAAGGGATATATGACAGAAGGGTCTTCGTTTTGTGACTTGGCTTTTGAAGGAGAATTTCCAGATGTATGGCTTTTGTGACATCGTTTTTGACAGATTCAAGCTTCCCAATTTGCTTCCGTCTAACATGCTGTATCCAGTTTTATCTTTTGAAAATCAGCCAGCGAAATGAGGGCGCATACACTTGTCGCACTGCGAGCCATCGATTCACTTTCAAACTTCTCACCAACCTATGTCCAGCCGTATTTTGGCATCTACCCTGTGGAGGCAGATGCCTCCTAAATGACCCAAAATGCCTACCCGCGTGGAATTTCGCCTCCTCAGGAAAGACAATGTTGAAGTGGACGAATAATTCTGGGGAGCCGGACACCCTTGCTTAGCAATGAGATAGACGAGTCGAACAGGCAAGATTATGCACCAGTGAGGAACAGTTCTAGGTACATATCTAGCAAAAAAGTCATGCCATTTGAGTAAAGAACGACAACAACCTCCATCTCTGACCCCCTCGTTATCAGGCTTGCTTTCCAGAAAAAGTTCCTAAAGCACGCCCTGAGTTTTGCCCACCCCCAACTTTTTGAAGCGCTCCTACGCCTATGGCTTAGTAGGTACTCCAACCCCAAGCCATCCTAGGGTGGGACGGAGAGGGTGGTTGCCTCCAGTCGGCAAGCAGGGGAGACTAGGCTCTGTTTTTGCCCTCTCATTAAAGTTTGAGAGGTCCTGTCTGCTCCTAAGGCGCCTAAAAAGGCTTTGTAGCTCACGCGGATTATCCAAATTTAGAGCCAGCACGCCCCTAGCTGTGCTACAGGATGCTAAATCAGGCTCAGAAGACTGTCCCGCATCAATAGGTCTGTGTTCTGGATCATGACATCCCTTTATGAATAAGGTTACCCATGATCCAGATCGGGGGTCCAATTTTATGATAAGGAGGCCCTTTTCTGTTTCGGGAAGCCACCGCTATGATAGGTGGCTTCTCCATGAACTGGTGAATATGTATGTGAATATGGCCAGAGCTTCCCATTACAAACTAGGACACCCCGTTATGAACCAGTGGGCCCCTGTTATGAACTAAAGTCTAGAGAGAGAGAAAGAGCGAGAGAAAGAGAGAGAGAGAGAGAAAGAGAGAGAAGAGAGAGATAGAGAAGAGAGAGAAGAGAGAGAGAGAGAGAGAGAGAGAGAGAGAGAGAAGAGAGAGAGAGAGAGAGAGAGAGAGAGAGAGAGAGAGAGAGAGAGAGAGAGAGAGAGAGAGAGAGAGAGAGAGAGAGAGAGAGAGAGAGAGAGAGAGAGAGAGAGAGAGAGAGAGAGAGAGAGAGAGAGAGAGAGAGAGAGAGAGAGAGAGAGAGAAGAGAGAGAGAGAAGAGAAAGAGAGAGAGAGAGAGAGAGAGAGAGAGAGAGAGAGAGAGAGAGAGAGAGAGAGAGAGAGAGAGAGAGAGAGAGAGAGAGAGAGAGAGAGAGAGAGAGAGAGAGAGGAGAGAGAGAGAGAGAGAGAGAGAGAGAGAGAGAGAGGAGAGAAGAGAGAGAGAGAGAGCGTGTAGAGTAAGACGTGATGACCGGCTCAACCCTGTTCAACGTGCCTGACCCTCAAACCGCTCATGTGTGAAGGTGGCCGCGTGCTGTTAAAACGAGCCTTGGCGCGAATGGTGGGGTCGCGGGCTCCGCTCCACGGACCAAGATTCGTCGATAGATGGGTCAGACGGCAGCGGTCAATGGACGTCCATCGCCAGGGGTATATAGTGTGATTGCAACAACGACAAAACAAAACAGGTGTCCTGTGGAGCGAGAACTTTCGGTGGGAGGGAAGGACCGGAGAAATGGTTTCGGTGCGGGACTTTCGTTGGTGGGAGGGATGGGGTCAGGGGGCAGTGTTCAGTGCAGGGGTTCTTGTTCGTAGATATATACTATTTTTTTCGTCCTTGCATGAGCCAGACCACTAAGAAACAAAAGAAAAAAAGGGATTTGATGGACACCTACGATCACGTGGCGGAACGTCCTGTTCGCGGAGAGACTGACAGTCTGGACAGTATGACTGTATGAGTCTGGACAGGCTGGACAGTTTTCAGCTCAGTCAGTGTTTCATGAGGTGAGCCCGTTTGCGCGCCCTGTCCGCTGTCACACTGCGCCGCTTGGCCGGCACGGCCCTGCCTGGATCTCTCTATTTCTCTCTCTCTCTCTCCTACAGCGGCCAGAAACTATGCACCAGCCTTGGATAACGACTTCGTGACGACACCGCCTGGCATACGCACTCATGATTTGCTAAAAAAAATATGTATTCTCCTGAAAAACTGAATGTGTGTACCACGTGACTCACAACACAGATCGTGAGCTGACATTTGCTGCATTGCAGGATTAGACCACGTGGCCACTGGCTCACAGCACAGCATATCGGGTTGCAAAGAACAGGTAAAGCATAGCCCAAACGGAAATAAAATTCACCTTGGTGAGCCGTTTTTAGAAAATGTACGACACAATGTTGGAGTAGCTTGCCCCATCTATTGTCTTGCATACGAGCAGCTGACAGCAACGATAAGTTGAAAGTCCTTATGTTGAATTTCCGACCTCCCATATACTAAACATGGGTAAACGCTGCTGTGAAACTAAATGACGATGATATTGCAGGTATGACGTAATGCTGAAGATTATATTGACGGGCCACCAACGTCGTTCAACCTGTACTTCCCGGAATATTGGGAGTCGTAACTAAACGTAAGAACTTCCAACTCAGTTCTGGAAATGGACAGGACAATACTGATTTGGCTGTGTACGTGAAATAGCCTGCATCAACACAAAAACACACCATCCAACCACAAAGGCATTACCGGGCCCCGGCTACATCCAGCCAGTAAAGGAGGCGGCGCAGGTAAGGCCTCCCGCCGCGCCCTGCCCCGCCGACGGCGCGCTGTCACCCGTACTTCATCACAACGATCTTCTGGATGCGCCGGCAGCACGACGGGCAGCGGTCGCGCCGCTTCCACAGGCGGCGCGCGCAGCCGTAGCACGTGACGTTGCAGCCAGCGCGGCCGTGGATGATGGCCGCGTTACATGGCCGCTCGCAGCAGATCAGACACGTGGCCGCCTTGTCCGGCGTGGGCGGCGCCGCCGCGGGGCTGGCGGTGCGCGTCAGGCCCGAGTCGGCGCGCCGCTGGTCGCGCTCGCGCCGCTTCCTCCGGCGCGGCTCCACCACCCAGGCAGGGCGCGTCTGCCGCCGAGACAGCACACGTCAGGTCACGTAGTCTCGAGCACGATCACCGCCGAGGCCATCGCTGCCGCGCTTATCCCCCCGTCCACAAGGTAAGGGCGCACAACGACGGCATGTACCGGCCATCTCCGTAACCTTGTACTTAACGGTGGTTCCGAACGGCAACGAGTAATGCGCACAGATGTAAGGGCCTTTTCTTCAATGGCACGAGTTATTGCAACCCGTTTTAACAGTGCCCTGTATGTCACAGGGAGTGATCCAACCAGTCTAGACACGTGCCTGGATCCCAAGGATGGGTCCAGGATCCCAAGGGTGGATCCAAGATCCCAGGGGTGGATCCAGGATCCCATACGGTTACTCATTACTCGGGATCCTGGGGTGTTTTGGGTTCTAGACACATGCCTGCCTGCCTGCCACTGTTGATTACAGCCGTTTCTGCAGCTCAGCCTGCCTCCATACGGGACCGGGAGTGTCGGCCACCCACCGCCCAGCAGTGGTCGCACTCGGAGTGGCGCGCGCTGTTGGTGTGTCGGCACCTGTCGTCAGGACACTGCCAGGTGCCGCGGGGCTCCCTGTCCGAACAGGACGTCTCCTGGTCGGCCACCTCACCCGGGTCGTCACACCAGGCGGTCACGTACATCAGCTGGAGCGGCGAGTCTTCGTCCGACAGCTGACCGACGGCGGAGCGGGGGGGGGGGGGGGGGGGCGTTAGGCGCGGTGCCGGACACCGGGCACCACAGGCGCCGGACACGACGGTCGGCCCTGGGCTGTCACGTCTGGTGGACGGGCGCGCGCACGGCCCGGTCGCCACGGAACAACTGGGGTGCCGCCATCGATACCGGGAGGCGCAGCGGACGCGCGCACTTGTGATGACCACAGGACAACCGCTAAGGTGCCGGCACGGCTCCTCCCACAGACGGGGAGGGCGGACAGCGCGAGCGTGACGCACCGGCAGCAGGGCAACAGCTCTGCGCTGACATCACTCGCACGGGTGGAGGAGCTCCGCACGCGACATGCAACCAAGAACGGAACGACCTTCGTGCCGACACCAGCACCGGGACAGGCGGAAAACCCGACACGGTGGTCAATGGACAACAACAGCGGAGCCGAAAACAGGTGCTGGGGGAACAAGGGGCGCGGAAAGCGCGCACATGGCGCCATGGGGACAGGAGAGCAGCCGTGGTGCACGACAAAGCGGAAACACACAGTGGAAGTCGGGGCTGCAGAGGATAACGACCACAAGGCTCCTGTGCCCGGGTCAGATCGCCAGCGGCTTCATCACTGACCACCACCACCATTCCTCGCACCTTCAAGCGTGCTCCCCACGCCCTGTGCAGACCAGGTCATGCGGGGATCACACCACGGATCGCGCCCAAAGGAGCGAGCATGCGGGGGATACCGCGGGCACTGTCTCACAGGTGCAACCGTACAGTCTCGACGTCCATGGTAGCCGCTCACTTTGGACGGCACCTACCTAATGCACGGCGTTTTAACGCACCGTCTGTTCGAACAGAGCCAATAAAACACGCTTCCAACTGCACTCATAATCTACGCAGTCATCGAGGGGACATGTGTAAGTAGTCAAATATGACCATCTATGGTCATTGTCACACATGGTCAATACTGACCAACGCGAGCGACGTACGCACTGGATGCTATGGCAGCATCCATCTCACAATCTACACCCCAATGCATGGGGTTGTGACAAAATCCACGCCCCTGGCGCTAAAACACCTCCCGACAAAGCAGCACACCACTGACGGCGCCGAGCGAGCCCCGTTCCCAGAGCCCGACACCAAGGACGTGTCGTAACGGCGGCGGCGGCGGCCGCGGACGGCGCCCGACAGCGTGGCAGGGTGGGGACCGGGCGCCTCCCTCCGGACCGCCGGTCCCCAGACGGACGCAGCACAGCACAGCTCTCCACTCTCGCGGCGTTCGCGTCCGCAGAGTGCCGTCTACAGCAGCGCACAGCGGATGGTGCGTGGCACCAACGCAACAAACGCCGCACTGACGGGGCAGATAAACGGCACCACGACATCGTCACGTCACGTCACGTCACGCAGAACAGTCATGGATGCCATACAATGACGCGGTTCCCTTCCTCACTGATCAGTGGCGATAATCAGCGTCGATCGGACGCGCGGCACCAGCCCACACCGTCACACCAAACAATAATGGATGAAACAGCAATTCGCACTTCTCTTGCATACCCATCACAGTAGCAGTGGCACTATGAGGCAGTAGTGTTTTAAATCTCTCGAGGGGATTGAGCCTGCCGAGCCTCCGGGGCGCTGGCGCCACCCGGGACCGAGTCGCGCGCAACGGCGCCGGGGGTGGCGCGGCGTGGACACACCACGACACACGGCCATTTGCAGTCGTGTCCATCGGGTCGGGCTCCTGCCAGCAGTGGCTGAGCGGCGCTCATGGACGAGGCAGCGCACGCTTCGCAGCGCGCGTGGTCTCCCTCAGCTGCCCTTGGGCCCTGTCGGCGCAGTAGCGCGGGTTTGCCAACGCGCGTGCTTTTCCTCTTTGTCAAGCCGTCCCTCTGTGAACGCAACAGCGCGGGCCGCGCGCCGCCTTTTCGTGCACCAGACGCTCACGAACGCAGCGCACACCTGTGCTGGTCGCATCGTCGGAAACCTCTCAGAGCGCGAGGTCCCGCCTCCCGATCCATCCAGGCGCCGTCTGCAGCGGCCAACACCGGCGGACGATGTGTGTCTTGCCTGAGCACGGCCGAGGAGGTCGGAGCGCTGCAGCGTGCGCGGAGCTCGCCACCAAGGTCGCTCCAATTCGCATTTCGAGCCGGCCTGCAGCCGGTCGCAACGACGCGTGCTACGCAGCGCGCTCGCCCGCAGGCAGGGCCGCGTCGTCCCGTGTCGAGCTGCCGCAGCCCCCGGCGCCGCGCCGTTAGCCGCGTCACATTCGCCGCAGCGGCGTCCAACACGTCGTCACATCACGCAAAGCGGTGGCGCTGCCGGCGGCGGCCGGAGGTCAGCCGAGCAGCCTCAGCCGAAGACAGCGTCCCAGGGTCCGCTCAGCTGGCGCAGCCGGAAAACAGTGCTGCAGCGTCCGGAGGCGGACTCGGAAGGTGGCCACGCGCCGGAGACGGCGCTGCCACGGCGAGCTCGGCCACCGGCTGACCCCCTTCAGCTTGACTCCCCGGTAGACCCTTGGCTCCCTGCGCGAGACCCTCCACGATGCGATGGATGAACCCCAAGGTCGTCGTGGCTGACCTGTGGTGTAGGCGCCGTTACACCCCTGTAACCGGTGTAACGGCGCCTACACTACAGGTGAGCGACGGTGAGATGCTATGACCAGCCGTGTGCTATGTTAAGTCCGAGGGGACGACGAAAACAAGCAACACGCGACATCAGCCTGCGAAATGACCAGGCACAAATGTTTTGCACGGTATTTGTGACAACACGGGCAGTCGGCAGGAGACAAAGCACTGCTGTTACGACTGGTGTGTCCTGTGAGGAGTGCCACAACCATCCAGCGCCAATGGAAAACCAGCATGGTGGTGGAGGCGAAGAATGGCCCGTAGCAGTCCCGAGAACGAAATCAAAGGAAGGAAAGAGCAGTGCTCTCGTTTGGACATAAAAAGGAAACCAACGTGGATGTCCCATTGCAATTACAAATCCCATGAACGATTGATAAGTTACTGGCATCGCAACCGCGCCCCACACCGGGTCCATCAGGCAGGGCCAGCAACCAACAGGGTGACAGGTACCGGATGGCAGCGTGACCAAGACCAGTGCCGAGATGCCCATCCCCATGGGAAGCCAACTAAACCACGAGCGTCCACACATCTATGGAAAGCCACGAGAGCTCGGCCTGCGCTCTACACCAGTATAAAAAGAAAACACCCAACGCCGTCCAGAGGATGGGCCGACCAGACGTGGGGCGCGGTGCCAGCGCAGAGTGTGGGGCGCGGGCCGGGACGTCACATCCACAGCACGAGTGCACCAGTGCGTGGCCAGAGCGGCGCCGCCAAACATACCCCCGAGCTCTCCGCGTCACCGACGTCCGAGCAGTCGACGGGCTCCATCTCGTGGGCGTACGTCCGACGGTGGTCGTCCGTGTCGTCACCGGATTCGACCGGCTCTTCGGCCGGGGCCGCCCCGCCGCCTGTCCCTGCACCATCGCAGGCGTCCGGCGCCAGTCAGCGCGAGCACATGCACACGCGCGCGCACACACACACCCACACCCACACACACACACACACACACACACCCACACACACACACACACCCACACCCACACACACATACCCACACACACCCACACCCACACCCACACACACACCACACCCACCCACACCCAAACACACCCACACCCACAACCACACCCACACACACAGGGACAGACCTCCGCTCCTCAGTCAGGCATACTGACACACACACACACACACACACACAGACATGTACACACAGACATACAAACACACAGCACGGCGGCGTACGCACGTGTCAACACGACCGACGCCGCGCGCGGGCCCGGCGGGCGGCACGCGACGGACGCGGTAGAGCACTGAGCATAATGTGTGCTGGACACGCGCCACCCCGGGGCCCGGCTGCCGCACTCGCCGGCGGCCCAGGGACAGCCTGGCCGTGTCTCGGGCGTCATGGGCCCCCATTCCCCGCGCGCGCGCGACGCCACTGCGGTGACCACGGCTCAGCGGTATGACAGTACACATTATGACAGTACACGCACGCACATAGACATGCCAGTGCACGCACAGCTTACATTGGGCGGCGCCGGCTCCACTCCATTTCAGGCCAAGGAGCAGGCATCAATGGTGCGTATAGTGCGGTTAGATCGCAGTTTGCCGTGCTCGCGCAAGTCAACGCACTATTTGTCGGGAACGCAGCACACTAGCACAATGTTCATCGGCCAGCATCCAAACGGACACTGAGACAAGACCACAGCTGGGTTAGGCGTACGTGTCTGGATGAACTGATTCGCTGCCAAACTGCGCACAGGGAATAACAACAACAGGTGTACAGAGGTGCTCGATCACGACACGGATGACTTACGTGTTCACTGCATAATGAACAATGTGTGTACAGAGAGAGCGAGAGAGCGAGAGCGAGAGCGCGGCCACCAAACGGCATTTGTTGACAGCACATCATCGAGAGTGACTTTTGTACGCACGTACGCTCACATGGGAAACGACGGCAAGCTGCAATGCACACCAAAAGGCAAACAAACGCTCGAGGTACCTCAAATTAGAAAGAAAGATATTCAGCTCCTGGTTTTTCGGCATTACGAGCTGAAATGTTTCATAGATAATACAGTAGTAGAGGCCTTATTCCTCGTAGAAACACCAGGTGAATGTGGATATAGATGCGTTGATATTTCCGCAGCATCTCTTTATCGAAGCAAATAGCAGTAGGAAACTGAAAATTGCCTGCCGATGATGCCATTCAGTTTTTTTTTTAAAAAAACGGTAAGTCACAGTTTTAACAGGCCACCAACATTCAGGGGATTAAGATAAGAACAATTGCCAGCCATTACTACGACACGGCGCATATCTATGGATCAGAACTCGCGAAAAATACGCGTACATGCAAGCGATTTCAAATGAACAGGCATCGCGAATCACGCATAAATTAGGTATTCAAACAATTTCAGTTAAACAGGCATCAGGCATGTATGAAAGAGGCATGTCTCAAACAGGCATCAGGCATGTATGAAAGAGGCATGTACGCGGGGTACCTGACGCGTGATGCGCAATACTTGCTCAGTTGAAATAGTTCTGCATGCATAACTTAATGTAAAACTATTTGTCTTTACACGCACCAATTCTACACGCAAATAAATTTACATGTATCAGTGATGCGTGATGCCTGTTCGCTTGGCATTGCTTGCATGTTTGACTGACGTGTGACGCCTGCTTACTTGAATTCGTTTTCATCACTGAATGTTGGTCGCCTGTTAAAACTGTGGCCCGCAATAAAAAACGACTAAAAATCCAGGAGGGTCATCGGCAGGCAATTTTGAAATCGCTACTGCTATTTGTTTCGACACAAGTATGTTGCGGGAATATCAACGCATCTACATCTCCATTCTCCAGGTTTTTCTACGACGAATAAGGCTAGTACTACTGTCTATCTATATGCATAATTCTTCTCGCAAACGCTCCTACTCCTGAATTTTTATGTTGAGTTAGCGGCCTTCTATACACCAAGGACGAGCGGACACAAATCAAAGCCTTCAGAGCCGCCAATATAATGTTACCATTACAACGTCCTTAACCAGCACCTCCTAGTATAATGCACGACGCTGACTCAACGAGCATTCAACTGACATATGTATAAAAAACGAGTGTGCCGACGGAGCGAGCACAACGCAATACGTGCAACACAGAAGTATGTTGTGCGAGTCCGAGTCCACCGAGGACGGAAGCAAATAGACTCTCCTTAACACACAAGAGTACCGTCGAGTTCAACTGGAAGCTGACACCTGGACCAGGAGGGTACAACAGACCAGCACCTCACACAGCGAGCGCGTCCACATCGACCGGCTCTCTCGTGCGCGTCCGCTCGCCAACCCCTCCGGGGCCCGGTATATCGGGAGTCCGGGTACGTGCTATCACCAGCTCCACCGGCCGGCCGGCAGGAAATGGGCACCCGTCTCGCACGACCCGCTGACGACGGCACTGGCTAGTCACAAGCGCCGCCGAGGGGAGGGGGACGCCGACGCACCGTCCCCGCGGCCGTCTCTTCTCACCTGGCAGTCCGGGGTGTCCGGACGGACGGGGCGCGCCGGCCGTCAGGCCGGACGACCCGGACACGGCCGCCGCCAGGCCGGAGGGTCCGGGTGCGGCCGGCTCGGCGGTCCGCTCGTCCGGACAGCTACGCCTCCTGTCCGGACCGTCGCCGGATGGCTCATCGGCTGCACCGCGCTTGCTAACATTGGCGTCGACGTCGGCGTCGGCGGCGGCGGCGGCGGCAACCGGAGCCGGCCGTTCCTCATCCACCGGCGAAAGGTGCTGCAGCAGCAAGGACCTGCCGAGCCGAAACGACACCGTCATAGAGGGCAGCACCGGCGGCCGGCGGCCCACGCGCTACTATGCGTGGCGCGGACTCGCTGCGTCCAAAGGGCGCTGGGTTCACGGCCTTGGCGGTGTGAAGCAGGCCCACCAAAAGAAGCGTCGCCTACGTGCCGCAGCCACTCATGACGTCAGCTAGACAGGAAACGGGTCAGCATATGCTGGAAGCCCTGGTTTGAAATGGGCAAAGACTGAAAGTTCTCCAGTATTAGTTAAACACCAAAATTACATAAATGATGAAATGAGCACTTCTGGCATTCAAACTAACTTTGTTTAACGAGAGGAGCTTATGCACATCTTGCAATACACACATACACGCATAACATGCGCCGACAAGACCGGCCCACAGTGCAATAACCATTTAAACGCCGAGTGCAAACGCTATGTAATACACTTCCCCAACCGGGCAAAACAGCACCTGTCCGTTGAGGGCGCCCGCAAGCGCGAGCGCGCGTCTTGTTCACTGCGTGGCGTACGCTTAAGAGGGCAAGGTGAAAGGGGCAAGCACAATCTCTCCGCATCCGATCCACCCACCGGGCACAACTTCGGTGCCTTTACACGGACTGACAGACCAGATGGATACAATCTGGACCATCTGCATCACGCACGTACCAAAATAAGCATTTACAGGCAAACGTCACTGCACAGACTGGCGGCGGATAAATACGTCACAGGCCTTCACACAAGGGACACACGTGTTCTCCACAAGGTGTCCACGACCAAACGGCCCTTAGACGAGACCAACCGTCAAACGACACTACTCGAAGATGCGTCATATGTCCTTCGTGAACAGTCCGCCAGACGCAATAAGTGAGCAGCAAACAAACCAAAAATGCTATCTATTACAATAATGTGATGCGACTTGGCGGTCTGCTAACCCACTTTGCCTTCAGTTGCTTTGCGTTGGTAGGACGGAATGTCCCTTCAGCCCTTAAGTCAGCCAAGCGTTAACGTGCCCCGGGTGCTCCACTCAAGGGGCCCTTGCCTGGAAAGAAATAAGGGTCTCAATATCATTTCACATTCACAAAATTTTGTGATCGGGGTGATTTTTGGTTTCATTTGCGTCTAGGACGTGCTCGCTAAACCGAACCCGGAAAGGCCTTGATATTGAGACCGAAAGGCCGGAAGCCACCGCCGAAAGGCCGGAAGGGCGGGGGGGAAGGGGGCAGCTATCCAGAGCCGTGACGACTCCGAGCCGCGGCGAGTCGCGGCGGGCCGCCGGCCGGCGAATACCGGCCCGAATGCACTGACGTGGGGCGGCGGCGGCGCGGCTCCCATACTTAGTTTCGTCCTTGGTGAAGTGACGCACGCCGAACACCCGGCCGAGCGGATCGCCCCCGCAGATGACGCGGCTCCGGTCCTGCGGGTCCAGCAGGCTCGGCCGCCGCTGCGCCAGGTACCGGATAAACATGATGATGACCTGCGGACGCGCACGCGGCGTCACCAGGGCCGGCCCACCCAGCGGACAGCACACGGTTCGCCTCGGTTCAGCTTTCCGCCGGCAGACCCGGCAGCGCGCCGGCGCCGTGATGTTCTCTACGCACGCCAGTATGGATGCTGAGCGAATACAACTGGCCGTCCACTCCGTCTCGTTGTCAGATTGGAATGTACCATGGCATGTCCGTAATCGACCTAGTGTGCCCACAAAGCATCAACTGAGACATGGCCTTTGATGCCTCACTTGTTTCGCTTGAACAGGATGCGTGCCCTACTGCTGCTATGGATGCGTTAAGTCCCGGATTCTTGAAGACATCAAACACACGAAACTGGCCATGGAATACTTACATCTTTCCACTCATATGGTTTTTCCCTTTGTGCTCCAACCTCAGCCAGGACGTGGTACAACTGCTCCTTCAGCCTATATTTTCTTTCTGCAAGAAATGACAATCCGGTCATGGTAAGAAATCCACAAGAAGAAATGAAGATGACAAATCGATGCATCATCCGATACACCGATTACTCTAATCCTATGCACCAGAATTCGTTTCTACCAAAAGCGAATCAAGATGTCCTCACAATAATTATATGCATGCCATTCTTTTAGTAGGTTGCATTTATAATCAATTTTCGGTCACGGACTTTGCTAACGGAATGTTCAAGTTCACACCAGATGAAGCGGACACCAGATGACAGCCATTATTGACAGCTGTTTTTCCCCTGCAAACAAGTGATCAAATGGCAAACATTTCCCATACTCTGATCAAAAATTACAATAAATCACAGGCGATAAAACACACTAGCTCTGTACAGGTAGACTACAGTATTCTCCACTATAACATATTTCTATTCAGCAGATGTTTCAGAGCGCATGTGGATTGATTCACAAATTTTGTGATCGGGGTGATCTTTGGTTTCAGTTGCGTCCGGGACGTGCTCGCTAAACCGAACCCGGAAAGGCCTTTCTAAGTCGCCAAAACATGATACACCTTCCGCCCTACCTTTGGATTGTGTTTTGCCCTTTCGCCTTTTATTTATCGTTATTTGTTCGGTCAAAATGTGAAAGATGTGTGCCATTTGATCACGTGTGTGCTGGGTAAAAGCCCGCTGTCAACACGGGTTAGAATCTGGTGTCGCTTTATTTTCAAAATTTTCGATTCTGTAAGAAAGGTCCTGACAGAAAATTAATATAGAACACAACCTACCTTATAAAGATGACATGCGTACTTATTGTCAAAGGGTTATCTCAATTCCGTTTTAGTACCTACCGTGCCTTACACTGCACAAGCACTGAAACATTTTAGAGTTAAAGAATATGTTTCTCTCACTGGGCAATACATTTGGGCACAGCACATTGATCACTCGATCAAATTCGATGAATTTTGATCGATTTACGTGCTCTGCAATCGTCCCGACTGCATTCATAACTACACAAGCAATGCTAGGCAGCGACCGTATTGAGAAGATAGTCATCCCTGCCGACCGAACCACATGCCTGAGCGATTTTCAAGGTTCCGCTCACTGCGGTTTATGTTACGAGGACGTGACAGTCGAGGCCGTTTTTGTAACGATATTGGTCGCTTCCCATTCGAGCATTGACGTTCCTTGGAATGGAAAGTCCCGTGCTTGGAATGGGAAGTCCCGTGCTCGCTATATTTATAGGCGATGCGCGTGCCTCCACTGTGGAGGCGGGTGCAGGCCACCACCTGTGCTGCTTGCCGAGATTTGGAATCAATCCTACACAAAGCGGAAAGCCCATCGACCGAAGGCCACTCCAGCGTGCGTGACGTGCTGTATGCAGTGGCGGACATGTGCGCTTATACGCTGGCCGTGTCTCTTCAGATCACAGTATGTTGACCGTGCGTAGTTGGGGTCAAACGTTGTCGACACCATGGCCTGAGCCCGTGTCGAGTGTTGGAAAGCAATTTGAACGCCTTCAAATTTGACGTTAATGGAGAGCAATAAATGCAAACTGGGCTCACGCGAAGCAAATAAAATGCAAACCAATCAGGTTATTTTGCAATGTTGCACCTAAGACATCCCTGGTCAAACAGTTTGTGAGGACATTTCTTGATAATACCAGAAGGTATATTGTGCCTGACCATGCGTTGCAAATTTCGTCGCTGTTTTGGTAATGGTCATGCCCCACAGCCAGTATTTTGGCTCATGTCGGGTTGACTTCTGTTGCAAACTATAATTAAATTTTCGCTCACTTCAGCTGGCAACTGCAACATGGATAACTTTGTCCGACAAGCAGTCTTTTAAATGCAAATTCCAAACAAAGTGAGTGGAGGATTAGCGAACGAGCACTTTTCAATATAAAATCGGACATGAAATGACAGAAATAATGCGTCAAATAATGCTGCACAATAACACAGCTCACTGATAACGCTTGATCTTGGAGACCCGTCAATTGCAGCTAACTGCAGAAGTATACAACTCTTTAGTGACGAACTATACAAAACTGCGGCTTCACGTATGATTCGGCCATTTTGACAAACATTCATGCGTCCCTTAGCATGGCTCTGAGGGCTGAGAAGTGACCTTCTTTGATCTTGAGGACACCCCCAATTCAATTCTCAATAAAAAACAAGGAAGATAAGTCAATAAGTCATAGACAACTTTATTCCCAATGACCTAATTCATGCAAACGCCCAGTATGCAATGCCAATTATTTACATGCTTGTATATTTGCAGCCTGTAGTGATCCATTGCATCTGCTGAAAAATAATCTTTTATTGATCCAGTTTGAAATGACCTGGGTAACTGAAGCAAGCTGAAATAGAACAACACATATGCTATCCACACTTGCTTTTGGAACTAAATAAGGTAGACAAGTTAATTTGTCATGCTGAGAGCAGCCCAACCTTCAACGCAATGGGAGGAGCTGGTTAAAAGAAATGCTACACATTTGAAGATGTTGAAGCACCACATGTGATGATAGAGGCACACTTGTAACTGGAAAAGACTACTCTGGATTCTAAACATAATTCTTCTGTTTAGTAAACAAGCCGCTCAACATGAAATTGTTGGATTATATCATTGTACCCTGCACACCATTAATTGAGAGCCAATCGATGACGTATATCTGTAAATTGTGTTGAAGACCATCATATATGAACAGCCCAAAAGTTATGTCCTTGAGATATGCATTCACTAGAATTGGCAGTACCCATTTTGACCTTTTTCAAAATTGGTGCATTGTACCATAGAAAATAGATGACTGTATGTCCCACCAACAAATGATTGCTCAAGAATTACTACCATCATAACCTGCGCCAGCAATCATGGTTTGCTCACTCGAAACCTTTATTATTGAACTATAACATGCATATGAATCTTGCCCTGAACTCACCGCAGTGGCCTGACATTACCATTTATGACTGAAATTGGCAAGTAAGAACAATTGTCTTTCCTTCTGCAATACAAATTATTTAATCACAAAAGCTCCCCCAACAGATACGCTGGTTTGGAGTTTAACACATATCAACTGTAAATGATCATGCAGCACTGATAACCTAGCATCACAAAATCCTCCCATGGCGTCCATGTCTGAAACTTTGGTGCTTCTTGTTGATTTTAGCTCCGACACATTTTGTTCTGTACAAATATACACTGGAAAGAATGTAAAATTTGTTCTCTGTGAGCGACGTCAGACGAAGGCAAGCTGTTCCTGCAACTTCGACAGCATCGCGCACCACACCCACGACTGAACGAGAGATACTGCTTGTGGGTTACAGCCGAATCTCTCTGTCATATCACACACAATCTCGCCTTGCAATGCCTTCAGTGCCCAGGTCGGTTGCTGCTCGCCAGCACAGGTTTAACCCACCCACCGGCCAACAACGACACCGACGCCCCCATACGTGGCGCCCGAGCCCGCACTCAAAACAACAACAGCGTCTCTTGACGGGCCAGGGAGACGGGCAGAGAACATCTCGTATGCGTCCCGTGGATCAGACTGTCCGCCGTGGAGCGGTCGGGACGGAAGCCATTCTGAAAAGGTAAAAGGTGATTCGACTCTAGGAACACCCTAATACGACCGTTGACCATTCGTTCGAATATTTTAGAAGCGCAGCTGGTAGGAGGGATGGGGCGATAGCTCGAAGGTTCAGAGGGAAGCTTAGAGTATGGGGAAAAAAGTGTGCTGAAGCGCCATGAGGGAGGGAAGGATCTGTTAACCCATATATCGTTAAAAGCCGTCAGAAGGTTGATGAGTCCAAACCTAGTGACATTTCTAAGGAAAGGGTAGGCCAACTGGTCTGGATCGACAAAAGTGTTTCCGCACTTACTGATAGCAGGGTCTAATCCGTAAGGTGTGAAGATTACGTTGAATGTCTCAGTGTTAGCAGATGTGAAGTTGAGTGCGAGCAGTGTGGCATTAAGCGTGTTAGTGATCTGGTGGGAATACCGCTCGGATGATGATACACGGGCGAAGCGTGCGGCTAATTTCGTGGCGACTTCGAATGGGACGCTGTAGTGTTGGTTGCTGACTACAATGTGCGGGGTTTTATAATGTGGCGTGTGTTTGTTTGTGAAACACCGAACCGGTGACCAATTTGTACATACGGGGGTAAAGCGGTTGAACGTATTTGAAAATTACTCCCATCTTTCCTGTTTTGCACGTTTAATGATTATATCGGCTTCATGTTTAGCTCTGCGAACCTTTTCTTTATGAGCTATGCAAGTGCGATTACGAAAGGCACGCATAGCACGGCGTCGTAAAGCTACTGCGCGCTGACACTCATCGTTTCACCAGGACGCATGCTTGTGCACTGGTCGACGATGAGTGTGTGGAACAAACTGGTGCGCTGTGGCTAAGGCATTGTCTAGAAATGTAGGGAGTTCGGGAATTGTGCCTGGATGGTGTACCTCATCTATTTGATTTTGGAAAGATGCCCAGTCTGCTTTGCAAACATTCCATCGGGGAAGTAAATTAAAGTCTGTTTGCCCTCATTGGACCTCTACATTCATGTGGATTGGGTAATGGTCACTAATAAGCGGGTCCGGTTGAACATTGTACGTAGAGTGGTGCTATGCGTGGTATTGTCAAGGCCACATCTATACCAGCGTGCGTCACTGTGCCTCCGTGGTGATGAGCATGCGTAGGCGTCAGTCTGTTGATACATATGAGGTCGTAAGTGTCCATGAGTGTCTGTAAAACTCTCCCCTTGTTTGCGTCGTGTTACAACCCATGCGCGATGATGGGCGTTCAGATCCCCAAGGAGACGGAGCGAGGGAATTTGTGCGAGTAAGGCGGAGAGATCAGCTGAGGAGACAGGGTTAGTAGGGCTTAAGCATATAGAAAGAAGAGTAAGGGCTAAATGTGCTAATTTTACGTTCATTGCAACTGAATGGAAATTCTCATTAAAATGAACTTGACGATGCAAAAGGTTATTTGAGACAAACAAGCCGAACGGCCTCGGCGCGTTGTTTCGTTTACGTTATGTGTGCGGAGGCAGTAACCGTTGATCAAAAGGCTATAATTAAAAGAGTCAGAGTTCTTAAATAATGTTGCTTGAACGGTGGCTATCAGTGGTTTGTTTTTGATTCACCGAACTGGGGATTCATTTCGCGGGATTCATTCAGAGTGGAGGGAGGCCATCCAGCGGAACAGCGGTGACAGAGCGAACGCGGGGCGCGACGGCCGGAGCGCGTAACGGGTCGGGCTCGGCGTTCAAGTGGGGGACTGACCCGGGAGGTTGGCGTCGGGGGCGCGGCGGCTGGGACATCGGATGGGGCTTCTTGGGACGCCGGTACGGGTGGGGTGGACCAACACCGGTGTGTTGGGGTGAGAGGGCGGGGAGGCGGGCCCACCGCGGGATACCTGACGCGTGATGCGCAATGCCCGCTCCATTGAAATAGCTTTACATGTGTAATTTAATGTAAAACTATTTGTCTTTACATGCATCAGTTCTACATGTAAATAAATTTACATGTATCAGTGACACGTGATGCCTGTTTACTTGCAATTGTTTGCATGTTTGACTGACGCGTGATGTCTGCCTACTTGAATTCGTTTCATCACTGAATGTTGGTCGCCTGTTAAAACTGTGGCCCGCAATAAAAAACGACTAAAAATCCAGGAGGGTCATCGGCTGGCTATTTTGAATTCGCTACTGCTATTTGTTCCGACAGAAGTATGTCGGGGAAATATCATCGCATCAACATATCAATTCTCCAGGTTTTTCTACGACGAATAAGGCTAGTACTACTGTCTATCTATATGCATAATTCTTCTCGCAAACGCTCCTACTCCTGAATTTTTATGTTGAGTTAGCGGCCTTCTATACACCAAGGACGAGCGGACACAAATCAAAGCCTTCAGAGCCGCCAATATAATGTTACCATTACAACGTCCTTAACCAGCACCTCCTAGTATAATGCACGACGCTGACTCAACGAGCATTCAACTGACATATGTATAAAAAACGAGTGTGCCGACGGAGCGAGCACAACGCAATACGTGCAACACAGAAGTATGTTGTGCGAGTCCGAGTCCACCGAGGACGGAAGCAAATAGCCTCTCCTTAACACACAAGAGTGCCGTCGAGTTCAACTGGAAGCTGACACCTGGACCAGGAGGGTACAACAGACCAGCACTTCACACAGCGAGCGCGTCCACATCGACCGGCTCTCTCGTGCGCGTCTGCTCGCCAACCCCTCCGGGGCCCGGTATATCGGGAGTCCGGGTACGTGCTATCACCAGCTCCACCGGCCGGCCGGCAGGAAATGGGCGCCCGTCTCGCACGACCCGCTGACGACGGCACTGGCTAGTCACAAGCGCCGCCGAGGGGAGGGGGACGCCGACGCACCGTCCCCGCGGCCGTCTCTTCTCACCTGGCAGTCCGGGGTGTCCGGACGGACGGGGCGCGCCGGCCGTCAGGCCGGACGACCCGGACACGGCCGCCGCCAGGCCGGAGGGTCCGGGTGCGGCCGGCTCGGCCGTCCGCTCGTCCGGACAGCTACGCTTCCTGTCCGGACCGTCGGCGGATGGCTCATCGGCTGCACCGCGCTTGCTGACACCGGCGTCGGCGGCAGCGGCGTCGGCGGCGTCGGCGGCAGTAGGGGCAATCGGAGCCGGCCGCTCCTCATCCACCGGCGACAGGTGCTGCAGTACCAAGGACCTGCCGAGCCGAAATGACACCGTCATAGAGGACAGCACCGGCGGCCGGCGGCGGCGCCACGCGCTACTATGCGTGGCGCGGACTCGCTGCGTCCAAAGGGCGCTAGGTTCACGGCCTTGGCGGTGTGAAGCAGGCCCCACCAAAAGAAGCGTTGCCTACGTGCCACAGCCACTGATGACGTCACCTAGACAGGAAATGGGTCAACATCGACTGGAAGGCCTGGTTTGAAATGGGCAAAGACTGGAAGTTCCAGTATTAGCTAAACATCATGATTACATAAATGATGAAATGAGCACTTCAACTTTCTTTAACGAGAGGAGCTTATGCACATCTTGCAATACACACATACACGTATAACATGCGCCGACAAGACCGGCCCACAGTGGAATAACCATTTAAACGCCGAGTGCAAACGCTATGTAATACACTTCCTCAACCGGGCAAAACAGCAACTGTCCGTTGAGGGCGCCCGCAAGCGCGAGCGCGCGTCTTGTTCACTGCGTAGCGTACGCTTAAGAGGGCAAGGTGAAAGGGGCAAGCACAATCTCTCCGCATCCGATCCACCCACCGGGCACAACTTCGGTGCCTTTACACGGACTGACAGACCAGATGGATACAATCTGGACCATCTGCATCACGCACGTACCAAAATAAGCATTTACAGGCAAACGTCACTGCACAGACTGGCGGCGGATAAATACGTCACAGGCCTTCACACAAGGGACACACGTGTTCTCCACAAGGTGTCCACGACCAAACGGCCCTTAGACGAGACCAACCGTCAAACGACACTACTCAAAATGTGTCATATATCTGGGATAGTTTTTCGTGAGCAGTCCGCCAAACGCAATAAGTGAGCAGCAAACAAACAAAAAATCCTATCTATTAAAATACTGTCAGGCGACTTCGCGGTCTGCTAGCCAACTTTGCCTTGAGTTGCTCTGCACGCGTTTCTCCACCGGGCCGAAGTGTTTGAAGACGACTTGCAAATGATTTCGACTCTATTCCGGCGTACGGGCCGGTTAGCTGTCACGGACACGTGGCCGGTGACAGGCTGAGCGGCCGCCTGACGCCAGAGCAGCATCGCTCTGACTGAAGAGCACGACAGCCTGTCGGATCTCCTGACACAAGACGACACGGGCCGCTCCACCGCCGCACAACCCCTCAATTTCGCACACTCTCCGGGCCGAAAGTAGAATAGCCAATTTATCATGGCAAACGCTGGTTGAGCTCTCTCAACTTGACCAAAGCACATCAAACCCCACAGAGCTGATACGCCCTCTCTGCCTCGACCGTTCCGTTTCCGTGCTCCAGCAGTGCAGAGAGCGACTGTCACCTGGTCGTCCTGAGTCAGCTACTGTCAGTGGCGTGCCGGGGGCGCACGAGTGTCCCGGTCTCCTCGTGCCGCGCCAGACCATGCCTCGAAGCCGAATGCCCGCTCGGAGCGCATCCTGAGTCGGGGGAGGGGCACGCTCCGCCAAGACCTGGCGAACACCTGGCATCGAGACGCGCTCGGTGTCTCTGAGCCAGGTGCTCGACTCGGAGACGGTGTTTGGTAGCCGTCTCCTGATACGTATCCACCAGGAGAAGACACGCCGATGGAGCTACCAGACATCGAGCCTTCCAGCCTTTCATTATCAGTTCATCAGCCACGAAATGACGGCTTTGTCGAGTGCACGTTAGCAAGGCTCATACGATTTTTCATCATCAACATCCACGAAACTCCCTTGGCACGCACTGTTTATGAAAAAAATACGAACAAGTATTAAGAAAGTACAAACCGAACAGCCAAATGTATCCGGGCAGCACGTTTTGTTGTCCAGCGTTTGAATTGGGACGGCTCCAGGGCGCATCCTGTGGGTGGTTCATCGCTGACATTCCGACTTTCAGACCATGGCCTGCGCCGGGCAAATGGCGTCATTCCACACAGGCCGATGCCTTAATTGTTCCAGGATATATCCAGCTCAAGTGAGTGAGCTTTCTTGCCAGACGTAACAACAGGGCCAGCAAGGTACACTGCCCCCCTCCACTTTTCAGATGAAGGCTGAGTTTGGCTTACTTTCACACTACATTAAACATATATGCCGATTTACCTAGTTCACCAGTCATTTTTTTTTCGTTTGCTCACTAGTCACTAGTAAGTGTTACAGCCGCAAGGCCGACACCGCGCGGCCTGTGGAGACTGCAACGCCGGGTATCGAGGCTGTCGTTGCTGACTTGCGAGCGCGCATGTTCAAACCATGTTATATAGTCTTTATTAGTACTCAATTCTGTCATTATTGGACCACCTGCGGCGATCGGGGATGTTGTTGCGTCAGTGACGGTTTCTGTGCTGATCCAGGGCCAACTGCGCGGACCAGAAGGCCTACCTTTTCAGGGATGGGAACAATTTGTTATGATATATCCTTTTAATGGCCTCAAGACCGATCAGGAGACCCCGCCCCGTGTCACCAGAATGACAGCCAAAAGGCACTTTGCGATAAGACGGAATGTCCCTTCAGCTTTTGGCCTCAAACGTTAACGTGCCCCGGGTGCTCCACTCAAGGGGCCCTTGCCCGGAAAGAAATAAGGGTCTCAATATTATTGAGTAGAGTGGTAGTCCCATTACTGTTAAATAGAGCGGATCGAAATGAGTTGTAAAAAAAACGCACAAGCCCATCCCAGTTTGGCTGAGAACGCTAATTTTTCCGAATGGGTCAGTAAAACAAATTACATCGACATGTTTGGACATGCCCGCCCACAACCTCGAGTGTAAGGACAGTGATGACCTGGGTTGCACGTTCCGTAACGCCGAACGGCGTCGGCCACTGCAAGTGTCATGAGACGGCGGGCGCCGTGGTAATCTGTCTTCTGGACAGATTAACAATTACAGACACACCACGAAGAGAGACTCTACCTTTACTTTTCCAGTTTCCTCACCAGATTTCGGAGTCACCTTGTGGCGCTTTAACGGCCAATCCGCTCTTAGCATCAGCCTAAAAATCGCGCACGTGAAATATGAACGCACACTGTCTTCTAAATGTGAGATTTGATGTTCTGAAGCGTTCAAAGGCACTCCTTTCAGAAGCGTCATCATTTTCGAACACCCGTTGGCCACGGCTTAGTATTGACTGTTGGGCCAACGCTGCGCGGCTTCGGGAGACTGCAGCGGCCGGCGTCGAGGAGTTTTGTCGCTAAGATTTGCGCGTGCGCATCCTCAGTATTATGCCACAGAACTTGTATCACTCATCCATGCAAGTGTCTGAAGGCAATTATTTCAGAATTGCCATCATTTTCGTCCACCGATAGGCCACGGCTAGAAGTTAATCACTGGGCTAACGCTCCGCGGACTATGGAGACTGCAACGCGTGGTGTGGGGATTTGCTTTCGCTAAGATTTGCGAGCGCGCATGTCAAAAAACCACGTTACGTTAATTGTATCACTAATCGTTTCTGACTGGATGTTGAACATTTCCAGCCAATCATGGCTTGCTCATGTTGATACATCTTGTTCATCACTCGGTCCACAACCAAATTTTATTTTCAAATTTAGATCAAGCATATCGATCTACAATGTACCGTCGCGATGTTCTTAATATCTGTAGAGCTCAGACACAAATTCTGAGAAAGCTTCTGAATTCTATCGTTTCAGAAAGTCCACAAAGCCACTGTAAAGTAAGGGCGCCGGTGATTTATTTCGTGCAATCGCTCCCCTTCTAGTTTTTGCAGGTCATTGACTCCAAAATACAAACAGAATTGGTCTCACGGTAGCTTCTGTATTCCTGTTCTGGTCGCAAAGTATAAAAAACAATAAAACGAGGAAAATCGTGTCCATGGTTAACAAGTAGGCCGTATCCGGGGACATTTTAGGGAGGGGAGGGAGGTCACCACAATAAGGGTTTTTTCAACACCGTGCTCCTCCTTGGCTAGGCTCCGGCTACGCCACTGCCTACACGCAAAACCAGATCAAGTTGTCTATGTTGAATGATGGGCAATCAAATATCCGTTGGGCCAATTCATACCTAAGACCGGCAGCCTCTCGAAGCCTTTTTTCTCCGATTGTGTGGTATAAGGAAAGATAATTCGGAAAAAATACTGTTGCGGGTGTTATTATATTGATACTGTCAGTCATGCGGGAGACAGCCGGCTCAGGGCAGTGCCCGCCGACGGCGGACGGTAGCAGGGCCCAGGTAAGGAATATATGACAGAAGGGTCTCCATTCTGTGGCCTGGTTTTTAAAGGAGAAATTGAGGCAGATGCCTCCTCAATGAACCAAAATGTCTACCCGCGCGTGGAATTTCGCCTCCTCAGGAAAGACGATGTTGAAATGGAAGAATAATTCTGGGGAGCTGAACAGCCCTATTTGCCGAATGACATAGACCAGTTGAACAGACAAGATTGTGCACCAGTGAGAAACAGCTCTAGGTGCATATCTGGCAAAACAGCCACGACATTTGAATGAAAAACGACAACAGCCTCCATCTCTAACCCCATTGCCCCTCCCCCCCCGCGGTCATCGGGCTGGCTTTTCAGAAAAGTTTCTGAAGCACGCTCTGAGCTTGGCGTCCCACCTTTTAAAACGTTCCTACGCCCATGTCTTCAAATGTATGAATAATTTGCTGCATTGTGTAGCCTTGAATATCTGCACTCTTATTTTATATATATGTATATATATATATATACGTACATATACATAATTTTTGCTGGGCACATACTCCTTAATCTTTCCAAAAATGTTGTTCTTAGTGTCTCCTTCACATTGTCCATGTTATGAAGTCCTCTAAAATTGCCTCACGGGGCGTTTTGTCTATGGCGTGGGTTATATACCCATGTCATGTTTTGTTTTCATGTCATTTCATGTCAGGTTTTGTCATGGCATGGTTTATATATATTATGGTTAACCGACTTCGCTGCCTCAAATATGACATGGGTTATAAACAGAGTCTTATACATGGAAGACAAGCGGCCTCTTCAGTGCACGCAGAATGGGAGCGCCAGACCGTCCCGAGAAAACCAGTTCGCGCAGTTGTGTCTCACCAATGGAAGCAATCCCACTGCTACCCAGGTGTTGTTTGTCGGCACAACCAACGTTGAAATTATCATGCAAACACAACCAGAAGCGAACAGCCAGTCTCTTATATGGCCAGTCAAATTTTCAGCCGTTTTTTGACCGCATTGCTACTTGCATATTTAGTCTGCATCTTTCTCATCCGATAGATGTAGTATATGGATATCAGAGCTCACGCAGCACTCATTGTGTGAAGCCCGAAAGCACCATTCAATTGTGGCATTGCGACTCAGCGAAAAAGTTCGCGCAAAAGTTCAAGGTACCACAATGCTCGGCATGGTCCGTCCAGCACCCGGACCTCATCTGACCTGGAGCGGCCGCTGCCACCGGCCACAAGGCACCCCAGTCGGCGGGAAACAGCGCGAGCGTGCGGCTGCTGGCGCGGTGATGACAATCATCGTTCAGAGAAACAACGACTCCCTTCGTCATTCTCCGCCCTCAGTGGCTGGGAGCCCCAGTCCGCCACGGCTGGGCTGGGAGGCACGCGCGCTCACCAACTGAGGTATGGGGCGGCGAACTCTCGCATGCTCTCCACACAGATAGAGCGTCAGGTTGCCGGCCTGCCCAGCCCTCCCGCCAGCTGGCGGAGCGTCCATGCCATTCCGCGCTGAGTGCAACCCGTCGCGTCCGCACCGGTCCAAGGGCCGGGCAAGCCGCGACATGAGCCAACCCCGCCGATCTGTCCTGGAGCCCCCGACATAGAACATCAGACGGATGGCCAAGACCGCATAATCCGTGCGCCGCCGGTATAGGACGGCGCCATCCTGCGGGCGTCGGTGGCGCTGAGGCCGGCAGTCCGCCCCTCCCTCCCACCTCACCCCACTACACACAGGCCAGCCCGCTACTCCCTCCCACCTCACCCCACTACGCACACACTAGCCCGCTCCTGGCTCCCACAACACCCCACTACACTCACGCCAGCCCGCTACTCCCTCCCACCTCACCCCACTACACACACACCAGCCCGCTCCTGGCTCTCAACCCACTACGCACGCACCAGCCCGCTCCTCCCTCCCACAACACCCCACCCAGGTGGAGCCGCCCGTCGTGCATACGGTCATAGTTTTCCGTACACTGGAGGAGTCACACAGAGTGCTGACAGCGAAATCGGCAGCCGAACTAAAACAGTTCTTAAGCCTGAGGCCAGAAATGCTGCTCTCACGACGGCGGCAAGCCGACGTTGCCGAACCATTCAAATGAACGCGACATCACCGCAGTCACAACTCCTGAGCCGACCTCTACAGCGTGGAGCCCAGAGTGGGCAGCTGGGGCGTCGGGGCGGGGGGGGGGGGGAAGGGGGCACCGATCCAGAGCCGTGACGACTCCGAGCCGCGGCGAGTCGCGGCGGGTCGCCGGCCGGCGAAAACCGGCCCGAATGCACTGACGTGGGGCGGCGGCGGCGCGGCTCCCATACTTAGTTTCGTCCTTGGTGAAGTGACGCACGCCGAACACCCGGCCGAGCGGATCGCCCCCGCAGATGACGCGGCTCCGGTCCTGCGGGTCCAGCAGGCTCGGCCGCCGCTGCGCCAGGTACCGGATAAACATGGTGATGACCTGCGGACGCGCGCGGCGTCACCAGGGCCGGCCCACTCAGCGGCCAGTACACGGCTCGCCTCGGTTCGGCACTCCGCCGGCAGACCCGGCAGCGCGCCGGCGCCGTGATGTTCCCTACGCACGCCAGTATGGATGCTGAGCGAATACGACTGGCCGTCCACTCCATCTCGTTGTCAGATTGGAATGTACCATGGCGTGCCCGCAATCGACCTAGTGTGCCCACAAAGCATCAACTGAGACATGGCCTTTGATGCCTCACTTGTTTCGCTTGAACAGGATGCGTGCCCTACTGCTGCTATGGATGCGTTAAGTCCCGGATTCTTGAAGACATCAAACACACGACACTGGTCATGGAATACTTACATCTTTCCACTCATATGGTTTTTCCCTTTGTGCTCCAACCTCAGCAAGGACGTGGTACAACTGCTCCTTCAGCCTATATTTTCTTTCTGCAAGAAATGACAATCCGGTCATGGTAAGAAATCCACAAGAAGAAATGAAGATGACAAATCGATGCATCATCCGATACACCGATTACTCTAATCCTATGCACCAGAATTCGTTTCTACCAAAAGCGAATCAAGATGTCCTCACAATAATTATATGCATGCCATTCTTTTAGTAGGTTGCATTTATAATCAATTTTCGGTCACGGACTTTGCTAACGGAATGTTCAAGTTCACACCAGATGAAGCGGACACCAGATGACAGCCATTATTGACAGCTGTTTTTCCCCTGCAAACAAGTGATCAAATGGCAAACATTTCCCATACTCTGATCAAAAATTACAATAAATCACAGGCGATAAAACACACTAGCTCTGTACAGGTAGACTACAGTATTCTCCACTATAACATATTTCTATTCAGCAGATGTTTCAGAGCGCATGTGGATTGATTCACAAATTTTGTGATCGGGGTGATCTTTGGTTTCAGTTGCGTCCGGGACGTGCTCGCTAAACCGAACCCGGAAAGGCCTTTCTAAGTCGCCAAAACATGATACACCTTCCGCCCTACCTTTGGATTGTGTTTTGCCCTTTCGCCTTTTATTTATCGTTATTTGTTCGGTCAAAATGTGAAAGATGTGTGCCATTTGATCACGTGTGTGCTGGGTAAAAGCCCGCTGTCAACACGGGTTAGAATCTGGTGTCGCTTTATTTTCAAAATTTTCGATTCTGTAAGAAAGGTCCTGACAGAAAATTAATATAGAACACAACCTACCTTATAAAGATGACATGCGTACTTATTGTCAAAGGGTTATCTCAATTCCGTTTTAGTACCTACCGTGCCTTACACTGCACAAGCACTGAAACATTTTAGAGTTAAAGAATATGTTTCTCTCACTGGGCAATACATTTGGGCACAGCACATTGATCACTCGATCAAATTCGATGAATTTTGATCGATTTACGTGCTCTGCAATCGTCCCGACTGCATTCATAACTACACAAGCAATGCTAGGCAGCGACCGTATTGAGAAGATAGTCATCCCTGCCGACCGAACCACATGCCTGAGCGATTTTCAAGGTTCCGCTCACTGCGGTTTATGTTACGAGGACGTGACAGTCGAGGCCGTTTTTGTAACGATATTGGTCGCTTCCCATTCGAGCATTGACGTTCCTTGGAATGGAAAGTCCCGTGCTTGGAATGGGAAGTCCCGTGCTCGCTATATTTATAGGCGACGCGCGTGCCTCCACTGTGGAGGCGGGTGCAGGCCACCACCTGTGCTGCTTGCCGAGATTTGGAATCAATCCTACACAAAGCGGAAAGCCCATCGACCGAAGGCCACTCCAGCGTGCGTGACGTGCTGTATGCAGTGGCGGACATGTGCGCTAATACGCTGGCCGTGTCTCTTCAGATCACAGTATGTTGACCGTGTGTAGTTGGGGTCAAACGTTGTCGACACCATGGCCTGAGCCCGTGTCGAGTGTTGGAAAGCAATTTGAACGCCTTCAAATTTGACGTTAATGGAGAGCAATAAATGCAAACTGGGCTCACGCGAAGCAAATAAAATGCAAACCAATCAGGTTATTTTGCAATGTTGCACCTAAGACATCCCTGGTCAAACAGTTTGTGAGGACATTTCTTGATAATACCAGAAGGTATATTGTGCCTGACCATGCGTTGCAAATTTCGTCGCTGTTTTGGTAATGGTCATGCCCCACAGCCAGTATTTTGGCTCATGTCGGGTTGACTTCTGTTGCAAACTATAAGTAAATTTTCGCTCACTTCAGCTGGCAACTGCAACATGGATAACTTTGTCCGATAAGAAGTCTTTTAAATGCAAATTCCAAACAAAGTGAGTGGAGGTTTAGCGAACGTGCACTTTTCAATATCAATCGGACATGAAATGACAGAAATAATGCGTCAAATAATGCTGCACAATAACACAGCTTACTGATAACGCTTGATCTTGGAGACCCGTCAATTGCAGCTAACTGCAGAAGTATACAACTCTTTAGTGACGAACTATACAAAACTGCGGCTTCACGTATGATTCGGCCATTTTGACAAACATTCATGCGTCCCTTAGCATGGCTCTGAGGGCTGAGAAGTGACCTTCTTTGATCTTGAGGACACCCCCAATTCAATTCTCAATAAAAAACAAGGAAGATAAGTCAATAAGACATAGACAACTTTATTCCCAATGACCTAATTCATGCAAACGCCCAGTATGCAATGCCAATTATTTACATGCTTGTATATTTGCAGCCTGTAGTGATCCATTGCATCTGCTGAAAAATAATCTTTTATTGATCCAGTTTGAAATGACCTGGGTAACTGAAGCAAGCTGAAATAGAACAACACATATGCTATCCACACTTGCTTTTGGAACTAAATAAGATAGACAAGTTAATTTGTTATGCTGAGAGCAGCCCAACCTTCAACGCAATGGGAGGAGCTGGTTAAAAGAAATGCTACACATTTGAAGATGTTGAAGCACCACATGTGATGATAGAAGCACACTTGTAACTGGAAAAGACTACTCTAGATTCTAAACATAATTCTTCTGTTTAGTAAACAAGCCGCTCAACATGAAATTGTTGGATTATATCATTGTACCCTGCACACCATTAATTGAGAGCCAATCGATGACGTATATCTGTAAATTGTGTTGAAGACCATCATATATGAACAGCCCAAAAGTTATGTCCTTGAGATATGCATTCACTAGAATTGGCAGTACCCATTTTGACCTTTTTCAAAATTGGTGCATTGTACCATAGAAAATAGATGACTGTACGTCCCACCAACAAATGATTGCTCAAGAACTACTACCATCATAACCTGCGCCAGCAATCATGGTTTGCTCACTCGAAACCTTTATTCTTGAACTATAACATGCATATGAATCTTGCCCTGAACTCACCGCAGTGGCCTGACATTACCATTTATGACTGAAATTGGCAAGTAAGAACAATTGTCTTTCCTTCTGCAATGCAAATTATTTAGTCACAAAAGCTCCCCCAACAGATACGCTGGTTTGGAGTTTAACACATATCAACTGTAAATGATCATGCAGCACTGATAACTTGGCATCACAAAATCCTCCCATGGCGTCCGTGTCTGAAACTTTGGTGCTTCTTGTTGATTTTAGCTCCGACACATTTTGTTCTGTACAAATATACACTGGAAAGAATGTAAAATTTGTTCTCTGTGAGCGACGTCAGACGAAGGCAAGCTGTTCCTGCAACTTCGACAGCATCGCACACCACACTCACGACTGAACGAGAGATACTGCTTGTGGGTTACAGCCGAATCTCTCTGTCATATCACACACAATCTCGCCTTGCAATGCCTTCAGTGCCCAGGTCGGTTGCTGCTCGCCAGCACAGGTTTAACCCACCCACCGGCCAACAACGACACCGACGCCCCCATACGTGGCGCCCGAGCCCGCACTCAAAACAACAACAGCGTCTCTTGACGGGCCAGGGAGAAGGGCAGAGAACATCTCGTATGCGTCCCGTGGATCAGACTGTCCGCCGTGGAGCGGTCGGGACGGAAGCCATTCTGAAAAGGTAAAAGGTGATTCGACTCTAGGAACACCCTGATACGACCGTTGACCATTCGTTCGAATATTTTAGAAGCGCAGCTGGTAGGAGAGATGGGGCGATAGCTCGAAGGTTCAGAGGGAAGCTTAGAGTATGGGGAAAAAAGTGTGCTGGAGCGCCATGAGGGAGGGAAGGATCTGTTAACCCATATATCGTTAAAAGTCGTCAGAAGGTTGATGAGTCCAAACCTAGTGACATTTCTAAGGAAAGGGTACGCCAACTGGTCTGGATCGACAAAAGTGTTTCCGCACTTACTGATCGCAGGGTCTAATCCGTAAGGTGTGAAGATTACGTTGAATGTCTCAGTGTTAGCAGATGTGAAGTTGAGTGCGAGCAGTGTGGCATTAAGCGTGTTAGTGATCTGGTGGGAATACTGCTCGGATGATGATACACGGGCGAGGCGTGCGGCTAATTTCGTGGCGACTTCGAATGGGACGCTGTATTGTTGGTTGCTGACTACAATGTGCGGGGTTTTATAATGTGGCGTGTGTTTGTTTGTGAAACACCGAACCGGTGACCAATTTGTACATACGGGGGTAAAGCGGTTGAACGTATTTAAAAATTACTCCCATCTTTCCTGTTTTGCACGTGTAATGATTATATCGGCTTCATGTTTAGCTCTGCGAACCTTTTCTTTATGAGCTATGCAAATGCAATTACGAAAGGCACGCATAGCACGGCGTCGTAAAGCTACTGCGCGCTGACACTCATCGTTTCACCAGGACGCATGCTTGTGCACTGGTCGACGATGAGTGTGTGGAACAAACTGGTGCGCTGTGGCTAAGGCATTGTCTAGAAATGTAGGGAGTTCGGGAATTGTGCCTGGATGGTGTACCTCATCTATTTGATTTTGGAAAGATGCCCAGTCTGCTTTGCAAACATTCCATCGGGGAAGTAAATTAAAGTCTGTTTGCCCTCATTGGACCTCTACATTCATGTGGATTGGGTAATGGTCACTAATAAGCGGGTCCGGTTGAACATTGTACGTAGAGTGGTGCTATGCGTGGTATTGTCAAGGCCACATCTATACCAGCGTGCGTCACTGTGCCTCCGTGGTGATGAGCATGCGTAGGCGTCAGTCTGTTGATACATATGAGGTCGTAAGTGTCCATGAGTGTCTGTAAAACTCTCCCCTTGTTTGCGTCGTGTTACAACCCATGCGCGATGATGGGCGTTCAGATCCCCAAGGAGACGGAGCGAGGGAATTTGTGCGAGTAAGGCGGAGAGATCAGCTGAGGAGACAGGGTTAGTAGGGCTTAAGCATATAGAAAGAAGAGTAAGGTCTAAATGTGCTAATTTTACGTTCATTGCAACTGAATGGAAATTCTCATTAAAATGAACTTGACGATGCAAAAGGTTATTTGAGACAAACAAGCCGAACGGCCTCGGCGCGTTGTTTCGTTTACGTTATGTGTGCGGAGGCAGTAACCGTTGATCAAAAGGCTATAATTAAAAGAGTCAGAGTTCTTAAATAATGTTGCTTGAACGGTGGCTATCAGTGGTTTGTTTTTGATTCACCGAACTGGGGATTCATTTCGCGGGATTCATTCAGAGTGGAGGGAGACCATCCAGCGGAACAGCGGTGACAGAGCGAACGCGGGGCGCGACGGCCGGAGCGCGTAACGGGTCGGGCTCGGCGTTCAAGTGAGGGACTGACCCGGGAGGTTGGCGTCGGGGGCGCGGCGGCTGGGACATCGGATGGGGCTTCTTGGGACGCCGGTACGGGTGGGGTGGACCAACACCGGTGTGTTGGGGTGAGAGGGCGGGGAGGCGGGCCCACCGCGGGATACCTGACGCGTGATGCGCAATGCCCGCTCCATTGAAATAGCTTTACATGTGTAATTTAATGTAAAACTATTTGTCTTTACATGCATCAGTTCTACATGTAAATAAATTTACATGTATCAGTGGCACGTGACGCCTGTTTACTTGCAATTGTTTGCATGTTTGACTGACGAGTGATGTCTGCCTACTTGAATTCGTTTCATCACTGAATGTTGGTGGCCTGTTAAAACTGTGGCCCGCAATAAAAAACGACTAAAAATCCAGGAGGGTCATCGGCTGGCTATTTTGAATTCGCTACTGCTATTTGTTCCGACAGAAGTATGTTGGGGAAATATCATCGCATCAACATATCAATTCTCCAGGTTTTTCTACGACGAATAAGGCTAGTACTACTGTCTATCTATATGCATAATTCTTCTCGCAAACGCTCCTACTCCTGAATTTTTATGTTGAGTTAGCGGCCTTCTATACACCAAGGACGAGCGGACACAAATCAAAGCCTTCAGAGCCGCCAATATAATGTTACCATTACAACGTCCTTAACCAGCACCTCCTAGTATAATGCACGACGCTGACTCAACGAGCATTCAATTGACGTATGTATAAAAAAACGAGTGTCCCGACGGAGCGAGCACAACGCAATACGTGCAACACAGAAGTATGTTGTGCGAGTCCGAGTCCACCGAGGACGGAAGCAAATAGACTCTCCTTAACACACAAGAGTGCCGTCGAGTTCAACTGGAAGCTGACACCTGGACCAGGAGGGTACAACAGACCAGCACCTCACACAGCGAGCGCGTCCACATCGACCGGCTCTCTCGTGCGCGTCCGCTCGCCAACCCCTCCGGGGCCCGGTATATCGGGAGTCCGGGTACGTGCTATCACCACCTCCACCGGCCGGCCGGCAGGAAATGGGCGCCCGTCTCGCACGACCCGCTGACGACGGCACTGGCTAGTCACAAGCGCCGCCGAGGGGAGGGGGACGCCGACGCACCGTCCCCGCGGCCGTCTCTTCTCACCTGGCAGTCCGGGGTGTCCGGACGGACGGGGCGCGCCGGCCGTCAGGCCGGACGACCCGGACACGGCCGCCGCCAGGCCGGAGGGTCCGGGTGCGGCCGGCTCGGCGGTCCGCTCGTCCGGACAGCTACGCCTCCTGTCCGGACCGTCGCCGGATGGCTCATCGGCTGCACCGCGCTTGCTAACATTGGCGTCGACGTCGGCGTCGGCGGCGGCGGCGGCGGCAACCGGAGCCGGCCGTTCCTCATCCACCGGCGAAAGGTGCTGCAGCAGCAAGGACCTGCCGAGCCGAAACGACACCGTCATAGAGGGCAGCACCGGCGGCCGGCGGCCCACGCGCTACTATGCGTGGCGCGGACTCGCTGCGTCCAAAGGGCGCTGGGTTCACGGCCTTGGCGGTGTGAAGCAGGCCCACCAAAAGAAGCGCTGCGTACGTGCCGCAGCCACTCATGACGTCAGTTAGACAGGAAACGGGTCAGCATATGCTGGAAGCCCTGGTTTGAAATGGGCAAAGACTGAAAGTTCTCCAGTATTAGTTAAACACCAAAATTACATAAATGATGAAATGAGCACTTCTGGCGTTCAAACTAACTTTGTTTAACGAGAGGAGCTTATGCACATCTTGCAATACACACATACACGTATAACATGCGCCGACAAGACAGGCCCACAGTGGAATAACCATTTAAACGCCGAGTGCAAACGCTATGTAATACACTTCCTCAACCGGGCAAAACAGCAACTGTCCGTTGAGGGCGCCCGCAAGCGCGAGCGCGCGTCTTGTTCACTGCGTAGCGTACGCTTAAGAGGGCAAGGTGAAAGGGGCAAGCACAATCTCCCCGCATCCGATCCACCCACCGGGCACAACTTCGGTGCCTTTACACGGACTGACAGACCAGATGGATACAATCTGGACCATCTGCATCACGCACGTACCAAAATAAGCATTTACAGGCAAACGTCACTGCACAGACTGGCGGCGGATAAATACGTCACAGGCCTTCACACAAGGGACACACGTGTTCTCCACAAGGTGTCCACGACCAAACGGCCCTTAGACGAGACCAACCGTCAAACGACACTACTCGAAGATGCGTCATATGTCCTTCGTGAACAGTCCGCCAGACGCAATAAGTGAGCAGCAAACAAACCAAAAATGCTATCTATTACAATAATGTGATGCGACTTGGCGGTCTGCTAACCCACTTTGCCTTCAGTTGCTTTGCGTTGGTAGGACGGAATGTCCCTTCAGCCCTTAAGTCAGCCAAGCGTTAACGTGCCCCGGGTGCTCCACTCAAGGGGCCCTTGCCTGGAAAGAAATAAGGGTCTCAATATCATTTCACATTCACAAAATTTTGTGATCGGGGTGATCTTTGGTTTCATTTGCGTCTGGGACGTGCTCGCTAAACCGAACCCGGAAAGGCCTTGATATTGAGACCGAAAGGCCGGAAGCCACCGCCGAAAGGCCGGAAGGGCGGGGGGGAAGGGGGCAGCTATCCAGAGCCGTGACGACTCCGAGCCGCGGCGAGTCGCGGCGGGCCGCCGGCCGGCGAATACCGGCCCGAATGCACTGACGTGGGGCGGCGGCGGCGCGGCTCCCATACTTAGTTTCGTCCTTGGTGAAGTGACGCACGCCGAACACCCGGCCGAGCGGATCGCCCCCGCAGATGACGCGGCTCCGGTCCTGCGGGTCCAGCAGGCTCGGCCGCCGCTGCGCCAGGTACCGGATAAACATGGTGATGACCTGCGGACGCGCGCGGCGTCACCAGGGCCGGCCCACTCAGCGGCCAGTACACGGCTCGCCTCGGTTCGGCACTCCGCCGGCAGACCCGGCAGCGCGCCGGCGCCGTGATGTTCCCTACGCACGCCAGTATGGATGCTGAGCGAATACGACTGGCCGTCCACTCCATCTCGTTGTCAGATTGGAATGTACCATGGCGTGCCCGCAATCGACCTAGTGTGCCCACAAAGCATCAACTGAGACATGGCCTTTGATGCCTCACTTGTTTCGCTTGAACAGGATGCGTGCCCTACTGCTGCTATGGATGCGTTAAGTCCCGGATTCTTGAAGACATCAAACACACGACACTGGCCATGGAATACTTACATCTTTCCACTCATATGGTTTTTCCCTTTGTGCTCCAACCTCAGCCAGGACGTGGTACAACTGCTCCTTCAGCCTATATTTTCTTTCTGCAAGAAATGACAATCCGGTCATGGTAAGAAATCCACAAGAAGAAATGAAGATGACAAATCGATGCATCATCCGATACACCGATTACTCTAATCCTATGCACCAGAATTCGTTTCTACCAAAAGCGAATCAAGATGTCCTCACAATAATTATATGCATGCCATTCTTTTAGTAGGTTGCATTTATAATCAATTTTCGGTCACGGACTTTGCTAACGGAATGTTCAAGTTCACACCAGATGAAGCGGACACCAGATGACAGCCATTATTGACAGCTGTTTTTCCCCTGCAAACAAGTGATCAAATGGCAAACATTTCCCATACTCTGATCAAAAATTACAATAAATCACAGGCGATAAAACACACTAGCTCTGTACAGGTAGACTACAGTATTCTCCACTATAACATATTTCTATTCAGCAGATGTTTCAGAGCGCATGTGAATTGATTCACAAATTTTGTGATCGGGGTGATCTTTGGTTTCAGTTGCGTCCGGGACGTGCTCGCTAAACCGAACCCGGAAAGGCCTTTCTAAGTCGCCAAAACATGATACACCTTCCGCCCTACCTTTGGATTGTGTTTTGCCCTTTCGCCTTTTATTTATCGTTATTTGTTCGGTCAAAATGTGAAAGATGTGTGCCATTTGATCACGTGTGTGCTGGGTAAAAGCCCGCTGTCAACACGGGTTAGAATCTGGTGTCGCTTTATTTTCAAAATTTTCGATTCTGTAAGAAAGGTCCTGACAGAAAATTAATATAGAACACAACCTACCTTATAAAGATGACATGCGTACTTATTGTCAAAGGGTTATCTCAATTCCGTTTTAGTACCTACCGTGCCTTACACTGCACAAGCACTGAAACATTTTAGAGTTAAAGAATATGTTTCTCTCACTGGGCAATACATTTGGGCACAGCACATTGATCACTCGATCAAATTCGATGAATTTTGATCGATTTACGTGCTCTGCAATCGTCCCGACTGCATTCATAACTACACAAGCAATGCTAGGCAGCGACCGTATTGAGAAGATAGTCATCCCTGCCGACCGAACCACATGCCTGAGCGATTTTCAAGGTTCCGCTCACTGCGGTTTATGTTACGAGGACGTGACAGTCGAGGCCGTTTTTGTAACGATATTGGTCGCTTCCCATTCGAGCATTGACGTTCCTTGGAATGGAAAGTCCCGTGCTTGGAATGGGAAGTCCCGTGCTCGCTATATTTATAGGCGATGCGCGTGCCTCCACTGTGGAGGCCGGTGCAGGCCACCACCTGTGCTGCTTGCCGAGATTTGGAATCAATCCTACACAAAGCGGAAAGCCCATCGACCGAAGGCCACTCCAGCGTGCGTGACGTGCTGTATGCAGTGGCGGACATGTGCGCTAATACGCTGGCCGTGCCTCTTCAGATCACAGTATGTTGACCGTGCGTAGTTGGGGTCAAACGTTGTCGACACCATGGCCTGAGCCCGTGTCGAGTGTTGGAAAGCAATTTGAACGCCTTCAAATTTGACGTTTATGGAGAGCAATAAATGCAAACTGGGCTCACGCGAAGCAAACAAAATGCAAACCAATCAGGTTATTTTGCAATGTTGCACCTAAGACATCCCTGGTCAAACAGTTTGTGAGGACATTTCTTGATAATACCAGAAGGTACATTGTGCCTGACCATGCGTTGCAAATTTCGTCGCTGTTTTGGTAATGGTCATGCCCCACAGCCAGTATTTTGGCTCATGTCGGGTTGACTTCTGTTGCAAACTATAATTAAATTTTCGCTCACTTCAGCTGGCAACTGCAACATGGATAACTTTGTCCGATAAGCAGTCTTTTAAATGCAAATTCCAAACAAAGTGAGTGGAGGATTAGCGAACGAGCACTTTTCAATATAAAATCGGACATGAAATGACAGAAATAATGCGTCAAATAATGCTGCACAATAACACAGCTCACTGATAACGCTTGATCTTGGAGACCCGTCAATTGCAGCTAACTGCAGAAGTATACAACTCTTTAGTGACGAACTATACAAAACTGCGGCTTCACGTATGATTCGGCCATTTTGACAAACATTCATGCGTCCCTTAGCATGGCTCTGAGGGCTGAGAAGTGACCTTCTTTGATCTTGAGGACACCCCCAATTCAATTCTCAATAAAAAACAAGGAAGATAAGTCAATAAGTCATAGACAACTTTATTCCCAATGACCTAATTCATGCAAACGCCCAGTATGCAATGCCAATTATTTACATGCTTGTATATTTGCAGCCTGTAGTGATCCATTGCATCTGCTGAAAAATAATCTTTTATTGATCCAGTTTGAAATGACCTGGGTAACTGAAGCAAGCTGAAATAGAACAACACATATGCTATCCACACTTGCTTTTGGAACTAAATAAGATAGACAAGTTAATTTGTTATGCTGAGAGCAGCCCAACCTTCAACACAATGGGAGGAGCTGGTTAAAAGAAATGCTACACATTTGAAGATGTTGAAGCACCACATGTGATGATAGAAGCACACTTGTAACTGGAAAAGACTACTCTAGATTCTAAACATAATTCTTCTGTTTAGTAAACAAGCCGCTCAACATGAAATTGTTGGATTATATCATTGTACCCTGCACACCATTAATTGAGAGCCAATCGATGACGTATATCTGTAAATTGTGTTGAAGACCATCATATATGAACAGCCCAAAAGTTGTCCTTGAGATATGCATTCACTAGAATTGGCAGTACCCATTTTGACCTTTTTCAAAATTGGTGCATTGTACCATAGAAAATAGATGACTGTATGTCCCACCAACAAATGATTGCTCAAGAACTACTACCATCATAACCTGCGCCAGCAATCATGGTTTGCTCACTCGAAACCTTTATTCTTGAACTATAACAGGCATATGAACCTTGCCCTGAACTCACCGCAGTGGCCTGACATTACCATTTGTGACTGAAATTGGCAAGAACAATTGTCTTTCCTTCTGCAATACAAATTATTAAATCACAAAAGCTCCCCCAACAGATACGCTGGTTTGGAGTTTAACACATATCAACTGTAAATGATCATGCAGCACTGATAACTTGGCATCACAAAATCCTCCCATGGCGTCCGTGTCTGAAACTTTGGTGCTTCTTGTTGATTTGAGCTCCGACACATTTTGTTCTGTACAAATATACACTGGAAAGAATGTAAAATTTGTTCTCTGTGAGCGACGTCAGAAGAAGGCAAGCTGTTCCTGCAACTTCGACAGCATCGCGCACCACACCCACGACTGAACGAGAGATACTGCTTGTGGGTTACAGCCGAATCTCTCTGTCATATCACACACAATCTCTCCTTGCAATGCCTTCAGTGCCCAGGTCGGTTGCTGCTCGCCAGCACAGGTTTAACCCACCCACCGGCCAACGACACCGACGCCCCCATACGTGGCGCCCGAGCCCGCACTCAAAACAACAACAGCGTCTCTTGACGGGCCAGGGAGAAGGGCAGAGAACATCTCGTATGCGTCCCGTGGATCAGACTGTCCGCCGTGGAGCGGTCGGGACGGAAGCCATTCTGAAAAGGTAAAAGGTGATTCGACTCTAGGAACACCCTGATACGACCGTTGACCATTCGTTCGAATATTTTAGAAGCGCAGCTGGTAGGAGAGATGGGGCGATAGCTCGAAGGTTCAGAGGGAAGCTTAGAGTATGGGGAAAAAAGTGTGCTGGAGCGCCATGAGGGAGGGAAGGATCTGTTAACCCATATATCGTTAAAAGCCGTCAGAAGGTTGATGAGTCCAAACCTAGTGACATTTCTAAGGAAAGGGTACGCCAACTGGTCTGGATCGACAAAAGTGTTTCCGCACTTACTGATCGCAGGGTCTAATCCGTAAGGTGTGAAGATTACGTTGAATGTCTCAGTGTTAGCAGATGTGAAGTTGAGTGCGAGCAGTGTGGCATTAAGCGTGTTAGTGATCTGGTGGGAATACCGCTCGGATGATGATACACGGGCGAAGCGTGCGGCTAATTTCGTGGCGACTTCGAATGGGACGCTGTAGTGTTGGTTGCTGACTACAATGTGCGGGGTTTTATAATGTGGCGTGTGTTTGTTTGTGAAACACCGAACCGGTGACCAGTTTGTACATACGGGGGTAAAGCGGTTGAACGTATTTGAAAATTACTCCCATCTTTCCTGTTTTGCACGTGTAATGATTGTATCGGCTTCATGTTTAGCTCTGCGAACCTTTTCTTTATGAGCTATGCAAATGCAATTACGAAGGTAATTACACCAAGGACGAGCGGACACAGATCAAAACCTTCAGAGCCGCCAATATAATGTTACCATTACAACGTCCTTAACCAGCACCTCCTAGTATAATGCACGACGCTGACTCAACGAGCATTCAACTGACATATGTATAAAAAAACGAGAGTGCCGACGGAGCGAGCACAACGCAATACGTGCAACACAGAAGTATGTTGTGCGAGTCCGAGTCCACCGAGGACGGAAGCAAGTAGCCTCTCCTTGACACACAAGAGTGCCGTCGAGTTCAACTGGAAGCTGACACCTGGACCAGGAGGGTAAAACAGACCAGCACCTCACGCAGCGAGCGCGTCCACATCGACCGGCTCTCTCGTGCGCGTCCGCTCGCCAACCCCTCCGGGGCCCGGTATATCGGGAGTCCGGGTACGTGCTATCACCACCTCCACCGGCCGGCCGGCAGGAAATGGGCGCCCGTCTCGCACGACCCGCTGACGACGGCACTGGCTAGTCACAAGCGCCGCCGAGGGGAGGGGGACGCCGACGCACCGTCCCCGCGGCCGTCTCTTCTCACCTGGCAGTCCGGGGTGTCCGGACGGACGGGGCGCGCCGGCCGTCAGGCCGGACGACCCGGGCACGGCCGCCGCTGGGCCGGAGAGGCCGGCCGCGCCCGCCGCCAGGCCGGAGGGTCCGGGTGCGGCCGGCTCGGCCGTCCGCTCGTCCGGACAGCTACGCTTCCTGTCCGGACCGTCGGCGGATGGCTCATCGGCTGCACCGCGCTTGCTGACACCGGCGTCGGCGGCAGCGGCGTCGGCGGCGTCGGCGGCAGTAGGGGCAATCGGAGCCGGCCGCTCCTCATCCACCGGCGACAGGTGCTGCAGTACCAAGGACCTGCCGAGCCGAAATGACACCGTCATAGAGGACAGCACCGGCGGCCGGCGGCGGCGCCACGCGCTACTATGCGTGGCGCGGACTCGCTGCGTCCAAAGGGCGCTAGGTTCACGGCCTTGGCGGTGTGAAGCAGGCCCCACCAAAAGAAGCGTTGCCTACGTGCCACAGCCACTGATGACGTCACCTAGACAGGAAATGGGTCAACATCGACTGGAAGGCCTGGTTTGAAATGGGCAAAGACTGGAAGTTCCAGTATTAGCTAAACATCATGATTACATAAATGATGAAATGAGCACTTCAACTTTCTTTAACGAGAGGAGCTTATGCACATCTTGCAATACACACATACACGTATAACATGCGCCGACAAGACCGGCCCACAGTGGAATAACCATTTAAACGCCGAGTGCAAACGCTATGTAATACACTTCCTCAACCGGGCAAAACAGCAACTGTCCGTTGAGGGCGCCCGCAAGCGCGAGCGCGCGTCTTGTTCACTGCGTAGCGTACGCTTAGGAGGGCAAGGTGAAAGGGGCAAGCACAATCTCTCCGCATCCGATCCACCCACCGGGCACAACTTCGGTGCCTTTACACGGACTGACAGACCAGATGGATACAATCTGGACCATCTGCATCACGCACGTACCAAAATAAGCATTTACAGGCAAACGTCACTGCACAGACTGGCGGCGGATAAATACGTCACAGGCCTTCACACAAGGGACACACGTGTTCTCCACAAGGTGTCCACGACCAAACGGCCCTTAGACGAGACCAACCGTCAAACGACACTACTCAAAATGTGTCATATATCTGGGATAGTTTTTCGTGAGCAGTCCGCCAAACGCAATAAGTGAGCAGCAAACAAACAAAAAATCCTATCTATTAAAATACTGTCAGGCGACTTCGCGGTCTGCTAGCCAACTTTGCCTTGAGTTGCTCTGCACGCGTTTCTCCACCGGGCCGAAGTGTTTGAAGACGACTTGCAAATGATTTCGACTCTATTCCGGCGTACGGGCCGGTTAGCTGTCACGGACACGTGGCCGGTGACAGGCTGAGCGGCCGCCTGACGCCAGAGCAGCATCGCTCTGACTGAAGAGCACGACAGCCTGTCGGATCTCCTGACACAAGACGACACGGGCCGCTCCACCGCCGCACAACCCCTCAATTTCGCACACTCTCCGGGCCGAAAGTAGAATAGCCAATTTATCATGGCAAACGCTGGTTGAGCTCTCTCAACTTGACCAAAGCACATCAAACCCCACAGAGCTGATACGCCCTCTCTGCCTCGACCGTTCCGTTTCCGTGCTCCAGCAGTGCAGAGAGCGACTGTCACCTGGTCGTCCTGAGTCAGCTACTGTCAGTGGCGTGCCGGGGGCGCACGAGTGTCCCGGTCTCCTCGTGCCGCGCCAGACCATGCCTCGAAGCCGAATGCCCGCTCGGAGCGCATCCTGAGTCGGGGGAGGGGCACGCTCCGCCAAGACCTGGCGAACACCTGGCATCGAGACGCGCTCGGTGTCTCTGAGCCAGGTGCTCGACTCGGAGACGGTGTTTGGTAGCCGTCTCCTGATACGTATCCACCAGGAGAAGACACGCCGATGGAGCTACCAGACATCGAGCCTTCCAGCCTTTCATTATCAGTTCATCAGCCACGAAATGACGGCTTTGTCGAGTGCACGTTAGCAAGGCTCATACGATTTTTCATCATCAACATCCACGAAACTCCCTTGGCACGCACTGTTTATGAAAAAAATACGAACAAGTATTAAGAAAGTACAAACCGAACAGCCAAATGTATCCGGGCAGCACGTTTTGTTGTCCAGCGTTTGAATTGGGACGGCTCCAGGGCGCATCCTGTGGGTGGTTCATCGCTGACATTCCGACTTTCAGACCATGGCCTGCGCCGGGCAAATGGCGTCATTCCACACAGGCCGATGCCTTAATTGTTCCAGGATATATCCAGCTCAAGTGAGTGAGCTTTCTTGCCAGACGTAACAACAGGGCCAGCAAGGTAAACTGCCCCCCTCCACTTTTTAGATGAAGGCTGAGTTTGGCTTACTTTCACACTACATTAAACATATATGCCGATTTACCTAGTTCACCAGTCATTTTTTTTCGTTTGCTCACTAGTCACTAGTAAGTGTTACAGCCGCAAGGCCGACACCGCGCGGCCTGTGGAGACTGCAACGCCGGGTATCGAGGCTGTCGTTGCTGACTTGCGAGCGCGCATGTTCAAACCATGTTATATAGTCTTTATTAGTACTCAATTCTGTCATTATTGGACCACCTGCGGCGATCGGGGATGTTGTTGCGTCAGTGACGGTTTCTGTGCTGATCCAGGGCCAACTGCGCGGACCAGAAGGCCTACCTTTTCAGGGATGGGAACAATTTGTTATGATATATCCTTTTAATGGCCTCAAGACCGATCAGGAGACCCCGCCCCGTGTCACCAGAATGACAGCCAAAAGGCACTTTGCGATAAGACGGAATGTCCCTTCAGCTTTTGGCCTCAAACGTTAACGTGCCCCGGGTGCTCCACTCAAGGGGCCCTTGCCCGGAAAGAAATAAGGGTCTCAATATTATTGAGTAGAGTGGTAGTCCCATTACTGTTAAATAGAGCGGATCGAAATGAGTTGTAAAAAAAACGCACAAGCCCATCCCAGTTTGGCTGAGAACGCTAATTTTTCCGAATGGGTCAGTAAAACAAATTACATCGACATGTTTGGACATGCCCGCCCACAACCTCGAGTGTAAGGACAGTGATGACCTGGGTTGCACGTTCCGTAACGCCGAACGGCGTCGGCCACTGCAAGTGTCATGAGACGGCGGGCGCCGTGGTAATCTGTCTTCTGGACAGATTAACAATTACAGACACACCACGAAGAGAGACTCTACTTTTACATTTCCAGTTCCCTCACCAGATTTCGGAGTCACCTTGTGGCGCTTTAACGGCCAATCCGTTCTTAGCGTCAGCCTAAAAATCGCGCGCGTGAAATATGAACGCACACTGTCTTCTAAATGTGAGATTTGATGTTCTGAAGCGTTCAAAGGCACTCCTTTCAGAAGCGTCATCATTTTCGAACACCCGTTGGCCACGGCTTAGTATTGACTGTTGGGCCAACGCTGCGCGGCTTCGGAAGACTGCAGCGGCCGGCGTCGAGGGTTTTGTCGCTAAGATTTGCGCGTGCGCATCCTCAGTATTATGCCACAGAACTTGTATCACTCATCCATGCAAGTGTCTGAAGGCAATTATTTCAGAATTGCCATCATTTTCGTCCACCGATAGGCCGTGGCTAAAAGTTAGTCACTGGGCTAACGCTCCGCGGACTATGGAGACTGCAACGCGTGGTGTGGGGATTTGCTGTTGCTAAGATTTGCGAGCGCGCATGCCAAAAAACCACGTTACGTTAATTGTATCACTAATCGTTTCTGACTGGATGTTGAACATTTCCAGCCAATCATGGCTTGCTCATGTTGATACATCTTGTTCATCACTCGGTCCACAAACAAATTTTATCTTCAAATTTAGATCAAGCATATCGATCTACAATGTACCGTCGCGATGTTCTTAATATCTGTAGAGCTCAGACACAAATTCTGAGAAAGCTTCTGAATTCTATCGTTTCAGAAAGTCCACAAAGCCACTGTAAAGTAAGGGCGCCGGTGATTTATTTCGTGCAATCGCTCCCCTTCTAGTTTTTGCAGGTCATTGACTCCAAAATACAAACAGAATTGGTCTCACGGTAGCTTCTGTATTCCTGTTCTGGTCGCAAAGTATAAAAAACAATAAAACGAGGAAAATCGTGTCCATGGTTAACAAGTAGGCCGTATCCAGGGACATTTTAGGGAGGGGAGGGAGGTCACCACAATAAGGGTTTTTTTCAACACCGTGCTCCTCCTTGGCTAGGCTCCGGCTACGCCACTGCCTACACGCAAAACCAGATCAAGTTGTCTATGTTGAATGATGGGCAATCAAATATCCGTTGGGCCAATTCATACCTAAGACCGGCAGCCTCTCGAAGCCTTTTTTCTCCGATTGTGTGGTATAAGGAAAGATAATTCGGAAAAAATACTGTTGCGGGTGTTATTATATTGATACTGTCAGTCATGCGGGAGACAGCCGGCTCAGGGCAGTGCCCGCCGACGGCGGACGGTAGCAGGGCCCAGGTAAGGAATATATGACAGAAGGGTCTCCATTCTGTGGCCTGGTTTTTAAAGGAGAAATTGAGGCAGATGCCTCCTCAATGAACCAAAATGTCTACCCGCGCGTGGAATTTCGCCTCCTCAGGAAAGACGATGTTGAAATGGAAGAATAATTCTGGGGAGCTGAACAGCCCTATTTGCCGAATGACATAGACCAGTTGAACAGACAAGATTGTGCACCAGTGAGAAACAGCTCTAGGTGCATATCTGGCAAAACAGCCACGACATTTGAATGAAAAACGACAACAGCCTCCATCTCTAACCCCATTGCCCCTCCCCCCCCGCGGTCATCGGGCTGGCTTTTCAGAAAAGTTTCTGAAGCACGCTCTGAGCTTGGCGTCCCACCTTTTAAAACGTTCCTACGCCCATGTCTTCAAATGTATGAATAATTTGCTGCATTGTGTAGCCTTGAATATCTGCACTCTTATTTTATATATATGTATATATATATATATACGTACATATACATAATTTTTGCTGGGCACATACTCCTTAATCTTTCCAAAAATGTTGTTCTTAGTGTCTCCTTCACATTGTCCATGTTATGAAGTCCTCTAAAATTGCCTCACGGGGCGTTTTGTCTATGGCGTGGGTTATATACCCATGTCATGTTTTGTTTTCATGTCATTTCATGTCAGGTTTTGTCATGGCATGGTTTATATATATTATGGTTAACCGACTTCGCTGCCTCAAATATGACATGGGTTATAAACAGAGTCTTATACATGGAAGACAAGCGGCCTCTTCAGTGCACGCAGAATGGGAGCGCCAGACCGTCCCGAGAAAACCAGTTCGCGCAGTTGTGTCTCACCAATGGAAGCAATCCCACTGCTACCCAGGTGTTGTTTGTCGGCACAACCAACGTTGAAATTATCATGCAAACACAACCAGAAGCGAACAGCCAGTCTCTTATATGGCCAGTCAAATTTTCAGCCGTTTTTTGACCGCATTGCTACTTGCATATTTAGTCTGCATCTTTCTCATCCGATAGATGTAGTATATGGATATCAGAGCTCACGCAGCACTCATTGTGTGAAGCCCGAAAGCACCATTCAATTGTGGCATTGCGACTCAGCGAAAAAGTTCGCGCAAAAGTTCAAGGTACCACAATGCTCGGCATGGTCCGTCCAGCACCCGGACCTCATCTGACCTGGAGCGGCCGCTGCCACCGGCCACAAGGCACCCCAGTCGGCGGGAAACAGCGCGAGCGTGCGGCGGCTGGCGCGGTGACTGACAATCATCGTTCAGAGAAACAACGACTCCCTTCGTCATTCTCCGCCCTCAGTGGCTGGGAGCCCCAGTCCGCCACGGCTGGGCTGGGAGGCACGCGCCCTCACCAACTGAGGTATGGGGCGGCGAACTCTCGCATGCTCTCCACACAGATAGAGCGTCAGGTTGCCGGCCTGCCCAGCCCTCCCGCCAGCTGGCGGAGCGTCCATGCCATTCCGCGCTGAGTGCAACCCGTTCGCGTCCGCACCGGTCCAAGGGCCGGGCAAGCCGCGACATGAGCCAACCCCGCCGATCTGTCCTGGAGCCCCCGACATAGAACATCAGACGGATGGCCAAGACCGCATAATCCGTGCGCCGCCGGTATAGGACGGCGCCATCCTGCGGGCGTCGGTGGCGCTGAGGCCGGCAGTCCGCCCCTCCCTCCCACCTCACCCCACTACACACAGGCCAGCCCGCTACTCCCTCCCACCTCACCCCACTACGCACACACTAGCCCGCTCCTGGCTCCCACAACACCCCACTACACTCACGCCAGCCCGCTCCTCCCTCCCACCTCACCCCACTACACACACACCAGCCCGCTCCTGGCTCTCAACCCACTACGCACACACCAGCCCGCTCCTCCCTCCCACAACACCCCACCCAGGTGGAGCCGCCCGTCGTGCATACGGTCATAGTTTTCCGTACACTGGAGGAGTCACACAGAGTGCTGACAGCGAAATCGGCAGCCGAACTAAAACAGTTCTTCAGCCTGAGGCCAGAAATGCTGCTCTCACGACGGCGGCAAGCCGACGTTGCCGAACCATTCAAACGAACGCGACATCACCGCAGTCACAACTCCTGAGCCGACCTCTACAGCGTGGAGCCCGGAGTGGGCAGCTGGGGCGTCGGGGCGGGGGGGGGAAGGGGGCACCGATCCAGAGCCGTGACGCCTCCGAGCCGCGGCGAGTCGCGGCGGGCTGCCGGCCGGCGAATATCGGCCCGAATGCACTGACGTGGGGCGGCGGCGGCGCGGCTCCCATACTTAGTTTCGTCCTTGGTGAAGTGACGCACGCCGAACACCCGGCCGAGCGGATCGCCCTCGCAGATGACGCGGCTCCGGTCCTGCGGGTCCAGCAGGCTCGGCCGCCGCTGCGCCAGGTACCGGATAAACATGGTGATGACCTGCGGACGCGTGCGGCGTCACCAGGGCCGGCCCACTCAGCGGCCAGTACACGGCTCGCCTCGGTTCGGCACTCCGCCGGCAGACCCGGCAGCGCGCCGGCGCCGTGATGTTCCCTACGCACGCCAGTACGGATGCTGAGCGAATACAACTGGCCGTCCACTCCATCTCGTTGTCAGCTTGGAATGTACCATGGCGTGCCCGCAATCGACCTAGTGTGCCCACAAAGCATCAACTGAGGCATCGGCTTTGATGCCTCGCTTGTTTCGCTTGAACAGGGTGCGTGCCCTACTGCTGCTATAGATATGCTAAGCCCCGGATTCTTGAAGACATCAGACACACGAAACTGGTCATGGAATACTTACATCTTTCCACGTATATGGTTTTTCCCTTTGTGCTCCAACCTCAGCCAGGACATGGTAGAACTGCTCCTTCAGCCTATATTTTCTTTCTGCAGGAAATGACAATCCAGTCATGGTAAGAAATCCACAAGAGGAAATGAAGATGACAAATCGATGCATCATCCGATACACGGATTACCCTAATCCTAATCACAAAAATTTGTTTCTACCAAAAGGGAATCAAGATGTCCTCACAATAATGATATGCATGCCATTCTTTTAGTAGGTTGCATTTATAATTAATTTTCGGTCACGGACTTTGCTAACGGAATGTTCAAGTTCACACCAGATGAAGCGGACACCAGATGACAGCCATTATTGACAGCTGTTTTTTCCCCTGCAAACAAGTGATCAAATGGCAAACATTTCCCATACTCTGATCAAAAATTACAATAAATCACAGGCGATAAAACACACTAGCTCTGTACAGGTAGACTACAGTATTCTCCACTATAACATATTTCTATTCAGCAGATGTTTCAAGGCGCATGTGGATTGATTCACAAATTTTGTGATCGGGGTGATCTTTGGTTTCAGTTGCGTCCGGGACGTGCTCGCTAAACCGAACCCGGAAAGGCCTTTCTAAGTCGCCAAAACATGATACACCTTCCGCCCTACCTTTGGATTGTGTTTTGCCCTTTCGCCTTTTATTTATCGTTATTTGTTCGGTCAAAATGTGAAAGATGTGTGCCATTTGATCACGTGTGTGCTGGGTAAAAGCCCGCTGTCAACACGGGTTAGAATCTGGTGTCGCTTTATTTTCAAAATTTTCGATTCTGTAAGAAAGGTCCTGACAGAAAATTAATATAGAACACAACCTACCTCATAAAGATGACATGCGTACTTATTGTCAAAGGGTTATCTCAATTCCGTTTTAGTACCTACCGTGCCTTACACTGCACAAGCACTGAAACATTTTAGAGTTAAAGAATATGTTTCTCTCACTGGGCAATACATTTGGGCACAGCACATTGATCACTCGATCAAATTCGATCAATTTTGATCGATTTACGTGCTCTGCAATCGTCCCGACTGCATTCATAACTACACAAGCAATGCTAGGCAGCGACCGTGTTGAGAAGATAGTCATCCCTGCCGACCGAACCACATGCCTGAGCGATTTTCAAGGTTCCGCTCACTGCGGTTTATGTTACGAGGACGTGACAGTCGAGGCCGTTTTTGTAACGATATTGGTCGCTTCCCATTCGAGCATTGACGTTCCTTGGAATGGAAAGTCCCGTGCTTGGAATGGGAATTCCCGTGCCCGCTATAGTTATAGGCGATGCGCGTGCCTCCACTGTGGAGGCGGGTGCAGGCCACCACCTGTGCTGCTTGCCGAGATTTGGAATCAATCCTACACAAAGCGGAAAGCCCATCGACCGAAGGCCACTCCAGCGTGCGTGACGTGCTGTATGCAGTGGCGGACATGTGCGCTTATACGCTGGCCGTGTCTCTTCAGATCACAGTATGTTGACCGTGTGTAGTTGGGGTCAAACGTTGTCGACACCATGGCCTGAGCCCGTGTCGAGTGTTGGAAAGCAATTGAACGCCTTCAAATTTGACGTTTATGGAGAGCAATAAATGCAAACTGGGCTCACGCGAAGCAAATAAAATGCAAAACCAATCAGGTTATTTTGCAATGTTGCACCTAAGACATCCCTGGTCAAACAGTTTGTGAGGACATTTCTTGATAATACCAGAAGGTACATTGTGCCTGACCATGCGTTGCAAATTTCGTCGCTGTTTTGGTAATGGTCATGCCCCACAGCCAGTATTTTGGCTCATGTCGGGTTGACTTCTGTTGCAAACTATAATTAAATTTTCGCTCACTTCAGCTGGCAACTGCAACATGGATAACTTTGTCCGATAAGCAGTCTTTTAAATGCAAATTCCAAACAAAGTGAGTGGAGGATTAGCGAACGTGCACTTTTCAATATAAAATCGGACATGAAATGACAGAAATAATGCGTCAAATAATGCTGCACAATAACACAGCTCACTGATAACGCTTGATCTTGGAGACCCGTCAAATGCAGCTAACTGCAGAAGTATACAACTCTTTAGTGACGAACTATACAAAACTGCGGCTTCACGTATGATTCAGGTCATTTGACAAACATTCATGCGTCCCTTAGCATAGCTCTGAGGGCTGAGAAGTGACCTTCTTTGATCTTGAGGACACCCCCAATTCAATTCTCAATAAAAAACAAGGAAGATAAGTCAATAAGTCATAGACAACTTTATTTCCAATGACCTAATTCATGCAAACGCCCCGTATGCAATGCCATTATTACATGCTTGTATATTTGCAGCCTGTAGTGATCCATTGCATCTGCTGAAAAATAATCTTTTTATTGATCCAGTTTTGAAATGACCTGGGTAAATGAAGCAAGCTGAAATAGAACAACACATATGCTATCCACACTTGCTTTTGGAACTAAATAAGATAGACAAGTTAATTTGTTATGCTGAGAGCAGCCCAACCTTCAACGCAATGGGAGGAGCTGGTTAAAAGAAATGCTACACATTTGAAGATGTTGAAGCACCACATGTGATGATAGAAGCACACTTGTAACTGGAAAAGCCTACTCTAGATTCTAAACATAATTCTTCTGTTTAGTAAACAAGCCGCTCAACATGAAATTGTTGGATTATATCATTGTACCCTGCACACCATTAACTTGAGAGCCAATCGATGACGTATATCTGTAAATTGTGTTGAAGACCATCATATATGAACAGCCCAAAAGTTATGTCCTTGAGATATGCATTCACTAGAATTGGCAGTACCCATTTGACCTTTTTCAAAATTGGTGCATTGTACCATAGAAATAGATGACTGTATGTCCCACCAACAAATGATTGCTCAAGAACTACTACCATCATAACCTGCGCCAGCAATCATGGTTTGCTCACTCGAAACCTTTATTCTTGAACTATAACAGGCATATGAATCTTGCCCTGAACTCACCGCAGTGGCCTGACATTACCATTTATGACGGAAATTGGCAAGAACAATTGTCTTTCCTTCTGCATACAAATTATTAAATCACAAAAGCTCCCCCAACAGATACCTGGTTTGGAGTTTAAACACATATCAACTGTAAATGATCATGCAGCACTGATAACTTGGCATCACAAAATCCTCCCATGGCGTCCGTGTCTGAAACTTGGTGCTTCTTTGTTGATTTGAGCTCCGACACATTTTGTTCTGTACAAATATACACTGGAAAGAATGCAAATTTGTTCTCTGTGAGCGACGTCAGACGAAACAAGCTGTTCCTGCAAACTTCGACAGCATCGCGCACCACACTCACGACTGAACGAGAGATACTGCTTGTGGGTACAGCCGAATCTCTCTGTCATATCACACACATCTCTCCTTGCAATGCCTCAGTGGCCCAGGTCGGTTGCTGCTCGCCAGCACAGGTTTAACCCACCCAGGCCGCCAACGACAACCGACGCCCATACGTGGCGCCCGAGTCCCGCACTCAAAACAACAACAGCGTCTCTTGACGGGCCAGGGAGAAGGGCAAGAGAACATCTCGTATGCGTCCCGTGGATCAGACTGTCCGCCGTGGAGCTGTCGGGACGGAAGCCATTCTGAAAAGGTAAAAGGTGATTCGACTCTAGGAACACCCTGATACGACCGTTGACCATTCGTTCGAATATTTTAGAAGCGCAGCTGGTAGGAGAGATGGGGCGATAGCTCGAAGGTTCAGAGGGAAGCTTAGAGTATGGGGAAAAAAGTGCGCTGGAGCGCCATGAGGGAGGGAAGGATCTGTTAACCCATATATCGTTAAAAGCCGTCAGAAGGTTGATGAGTCCAAACCTAGTGACATTTCTAAGGAAAGGGTAGGCCAACTGGTCTGGATCGACAAAAGCGTTTCCGCACTTACTGATCGCAAGGTCTAATCCGTAAGGTGTGAAGATTACGTTGAATGTCTCAGTGTTAGCAGATGTGAAGTTGAGTGCGCGCAGTGTGGCATTAAGCGTGTTAGTGATCTGGTGGGAATACTGCTCGGATGATGATACACGGGCGAAGCGTGCGGCTAATTTCGTGGCGACTTCGAATGGGACGCTGTAGTGTTGGTTGCTGACTACAATGTGCGGGGTTATAATGTGGCGTGTGTTTGTTTGTGAAACACCGAACCGGTGACCAGTTTGTACATACGGGGGTAAGCGGTTGAACGTATTTGAAAATTACTCCCATCTTTCCTGTTTTGCACGTGTAATGATTGTATCGGCTTCATGTTTAGCTCTGCGAACCTTTTCTTTATGAGCTATGCAAATGCAATTACGAAGGTAATTACACCAAGGACGAGCGGACACAAATCAAAACCTTCAGAGCCGCCAATATAATGTTACCATTACAACGTCCTTAACCAGCACCTCCTAGTATAATGCACGACGCTGACTCAACGAGCATTCAACTGACATATGTATAAAAAACGAGTGTGCCGACGGAGCGAGCACAACGCAATACGTGCAACACAGAAGTATGTTGTGCGAGTCCGAGTCCACCGGGGACGGAAGCAAACAGCCTCTCCTTAACACACAAGAGTGCCGTCGAGTTCAACTGGAAGCTGACACCTGGACCAGGAGGGTACAACAGACCAGCACCTCACACAGCGAGCGCGTCCACATCGACCGGCTCTCTCGTGCGCGTCCGCTCGCCAACCCCTCCGGGGCCCGGTATATCGGGAGTCCGGGTACGTGCTATCACCACCTCCACCGGCCGGCCGGCAGGAAATGGGCGCCCGTCTCGCACGACCCGCTGACGACGGCACTGGCTAGTCACAAGCGCCGCCGAGGGGAGGGGGACGCCGACGCACCGTCCCCGCGGCCGTCTCTTCTCACCTGGCAGTCCGGGGTGTCCGGACGGACGGGGCGCGCCGGCCGTCAGGCCGGACGACCCGGGCACGGCCGCCGCT